GAGAAAAGAACGTATTAAGTTTAAAAGGCAACAATATCGTATTGTAAAGAAACTAGAATGTTTTGATATTAATAAAATTTTAAAATGTACATATGACAGTGGGCAATTGCCAAAGTTATTTGTTAAATTTGATAATTACTTATGTGAAAATGCTCTGTTAGATTCTGGTTGTAATATTAATTTACTAAGTAAAAATATGTTTCTAATGTTACAAAGGAGAAAGTTAGCTAAGCGAGTAGTGAATCAGGAAATTTCTTGTAGGGCGGCAAATAGCTCAGAGATAAGAGTCACTGAAACATGCGTAGTTAAAGTCAAGGTCAACCGTTTCGCTTGGAACGTAAAGTTTCATGTATCACCGAACATACACTTTAAAATGATTTAAAGTAGTGGCTTTATTAGAGAGACCCAATTAATTATGAATTTAAGTCAAAATCAGTGTTACTTTGCCTTTTTACCAAATATTAAGATTTCTCTCAACAAAGTTAATGCCAATCTAGTGTATTCTTGTGATGTTAATAATTCCTTGAACATAGGAGTAGATGAAGTTAGGCCGCAAATTTTGAATATAATGCAAAGGTATTCTGATGCATTTACAGACAAGATAGGAAGGGCATTAGATTTTGAATATAAGATTAATTTAAAAGATAGTGAGATTGTTAATCAAAAGCCTTATCCATTATCTCCTCCCAGGTGTGCAGAAATGAAAGAAATTATAGATGACCTTCTTAAGCAAAATATTATAAGACCCTCAATTAGCAGTTATAGTTCACCATCGTTTTTAGTGTCAAAACCTGGTAGTATTAAGAAGAGACTTGTTATAAACTACAGCAAATTAAATAATAAGATAGAAAGAGTAAATTTTCCGCTAGGGGAAATGCAAGATTGTCATCATTTTTTGAAAGGAGCTGGTTATTTTAGTGTGATTGATTTGGCAAACTCCTTCATGCAAATACCTCTACATGAAGATAGCAAGCATCTTACTAGTTTTTCAACTCCTTTCGCCTTATATGAATTTAACAGGATCCCCTATGGGTTACATGTAGGAAGTGGCTTACTTAGCTCATATCTAGATAAGGTGTTCCGGGATATTAAATTTGTTTATGTTATAAATTTTGTAGACGACATTTTGATATATTCTAAGACTAAGGAAGACCATCTTAGACATTTAGAGGAAGTTGTGAAGAGATTAAATTCTCATGGTCTAACTGTTAATCCATCAAAAGTAAAATTGTGTCATACAGAAATAAGCTTTTTAGGAAATATTATCTCTAGAGATAAGGTAACAATAGACCCAAGTCGCACTGAAGCTATTAGAAAATTTAATGTACCTAAGAATGTTAAGGAGCTTAGCAGTTTTATAGGTATGGTTAGCTACTTTTCAAAATACATCAAGAATTATGCAGAACTAGCAGCACCTTTAAATGAATTACGAAAGAAGCGTTGTAAATTCGAATGGACAGACGAATGTAACAGTAACTTTTATAAGTTGAAAGACTCGATAATCAATCCACCTGTATTAGCGATAGCTGATTTCAAGAAACCTTTTATTTTGATGACAGATGCGAGTGAGGTAGCTTTAGGTTCAACTCTTTTACAAAAAAATGAATTTGGAGATAATCTACCTGTTGCATACTATTCTAAAAAGTTTACTGATAGCGAAAGATGTTTAGGAATATATGAGAAGGAGGCTTTGTCTGTTGTGGCAAGTATAAAAAAATTTTACAGTTATTTAGAGGTGCAACCATTTTATCTCATAACCGACAATCATGCCTTGTCATGGGTTCTTACCCACTTCAGAAAACTAGGTAAAATAGCCAGATGGGTGGAGTGTATTTTAAGTTTGCCATTTTATGTAATGCACGTAAAGTCAAAGGAAAATCCGGTAGCTGATTGTTTGTCACGTATGTTTCCCAACGAGGATAAACCTATACAAGTTGTAGATGTCTTAGAGGAAGAGTTTAATGTAACACCTGTTAAATGGAAAAGTTGTAAAAAGTTCAAATCAGTTAGCAGTAAAGTTATCCCGGAAGCTAATGCTATTACAGAATTTCCCTTGGCTTACGTAGGAATTTCGAGTCAACAAAAATCTGATCCTGAATGCTTAGAAATAATTAATAGTGTGAAGAATAAAACGTGTAAGGAGAACTTTTTCATTAAAAAAGATGTTTTAATGTACAAAAAGAATGACAAGAGTAAACCTAAAATCTATGTACCAAAATCTTTAATTGATATGCTATATAATTATTATCATGTTAGTAATTTTGGTGGCCATTTAGGTCAGTCAAAAACAGTAGCCAAGGTTATGGAGTATTTTTATAGAGAAAAGTTGCCAGAGGAAATACGCAGTAGAGTTAAGAATTGTGAAATATGTAAATTATCTAAACCACCACAGAGAAGATATGAAGGGGAGCTTATCTCTGGAATTTCCAGTGCACCGATGGACAAGCTATACGTGGACCTTGTAGGGCCTCTTACCCGATCTAAATTGGGAAATAATCAGATTTTGGTTGTTGTTGATGATATGACAAAATATGTGTGGTTGTTACCATTAAAGGATGCTAAAACTAAGGGGATTGTAACTAACCTAGAGGAAGTTGTGTTCAAAAACTTTGGTAGCTGTAAGCAATTAGTTACTGATAATGCTAAATATTTTGTAAGTGTAGAGTTTAAAAACTTTATGTTTAAACATTGTATAGAACATTATACCATAATACCGTATAGACCTAGTGCCAATAAGTGTGAAAGATACATTCGAAATGTAAAAAGTCAAATTAGGGCATTTTATCATAACTGTCAAAATATATGGGATCGAGATTTGTATTTTATGCAACAGAGTTTAAATACAGCTAGAAATGACAGTACAAAATTTTCTGCATTTGAACTGATGTTCAAAAGGAAATCTAACCATGGGTTGAGCAATTTGTGGAATGTAAATGAGTTATTAAATCCTAAGTTAACAGAGTTAGAAATTAAGTCTATGATGAACAGAGCTATTACAAATTGTAAATTATCTGCAAAGAGAAATAGGAAAAGGTTAAGATACAATGCTGACAAAAAGTAAACACCCATTTCATCTAGGGGACATAGTATATTTAGAAACCCATCGCCTGAGCAAAAAAGCGGAAAAATACCAGGCTAAAATGGATTTAAAATATTCAGGTCCTTATAAGATTATTTACTTTTTAAGTCCAGTATCTGTAATAATACAGAGCACAAAAGATTCATGCGACATAAAAAGAGCCCATATAGTCAATTTGAAGAAACAATGATGAATAATTAATTTGTTTAGATTGCACAAGTTCATGATTTAGTTTGTATAATGTAATTTTGAGTAAAACCACGCAATGTGTATGATATTATGCTGCACATGTGGATAAGTTTTAAGAAGATTAAGTTTTAATAATTTTGGAGAGGAGAGATTGAATGTAATGTAAATATTTTATGATTTAAAATGATTTTTTTTTTTAGTGCCAGGGTGATTCTGTTGGTTACCAAGTCCACGCGTGGCGACTACAAAGCTTGACATGAATGACTTTTTTGGGTATGTGTGAGTGCGTGAATGTGATACGAAAGGGAGCGTGAATGATGACTTTACTTTTGACTTACAGTAATACTTTACTACGACCGCACTACTGACTAAACCATATGGAGAATCCTGGTAACTCGAGAAAAATAAATAGTATCTCAATAATTGTTTACTGCCTTAACACACATATTGTGCAATCTCAACCGTAAGATTTCATAAAAAAAAAGGGTTAGGATATTTTCCCAAGAAGAGCCCAAGTCCTCGGTTGAAGCTGATACCTAGCGCCTGCAGTCGACAACGCGGCAACAAGGCGACATCAGGGCTGCGAGTCGACGCTGCGCTGCGCTGCGGCTAAGAAGATGAGACTTCGGTGTGATTGGTTAATTTGTTGTTAATTGAACTAATTATTGTTATTTTAATTGTTAATCAAATTAATGTGGGCGTAAATTAAGTTTAATGTTAATAATTTTAAGTTTTAATAATTTTGGAGAGGAGAAAATGTACCATATTTTGATATATATAAAAAAATTATTAAAAAAAATTAAAATTATGTACTGGCTAATAGTCAGCTGGGGTCGCCGGGAATCCCGATTTCGGGTTTAAACAAACGCGGTGGCCGTCGAGGCTGCTCGATCGCTTTTGCTGGTAGACTCCCGACGAAGACGGACGTGCGACAAATGCAGCCCTCATTTGGAGGTAATACTTAGCATTAGTTATTTGTTTTAAACACTTTAAACAACTTCTCTACATTCTTGACAAAATCTTAAAGCTGATTTATTCTTTATTGTTGAATTAATTTATACAAAAAAGTATACAAAATGGGTATTTCATTTCTAGGGTTCACGTTCTGGGCAAGTTTTCCCCTCTCCATAACAGATTTCTTTTGTCGTGATTCTTTTGTGCTCTATTAGGTTTAAGTGTTTTATTCAATAGTTTGTGTTAAAAATAAAGCAGTCTTAATAATGTGTATTAATAATTTTCCTGAACTAATCACAGTAGTTACAAAATTAAATAATGTATGTAATGATTTAAAATAAAAGGTAAATGTAAAATTTGGTACAACATCTCTCGGACGGAGGCTCAATTCAGGTCTTGGAAACGGTTTGAATCCAAAGTCACAAAATATGGAGGATTTAGCAATCTTTGATAATCTTCAATATTGCAAGATTGGAGGGATTAATAATTAGTATACATTATTATCTTTATTGCAATAACAAAGGGCTGTTTCCTGTTGTCTGTCAAATCAAAACAATTCAATGTGGTAAATCCGATCCGTTCTAAACTTGATGATAAGCTCTATTTCCAACAGCTCGAAACAGGTATAGTTACTATACAGCTCGTTAGTATAGGTATAGTATATAGTAGGTATAGGTATAGTACTATAACAGCTCGTTTTGACTGACAGTTACCTGACAGTTAAACCTTTATTGTTACTTCATACAATCCAGAGGCCATCCATAATGAGTTAAGAAGCTTATTTTACAGGTATGACCAGGGTACCTGCAGTGTTGGCGATGCCGAGGGGACTGAAGCCGTTGTTGGTGTTGGGAGAGAGCAGTGTGCGACTGCCAGTCAGTAGAGTAACCAGAGTATCCTTGTCTGTGGTGGCCTGCTGCTGTTGACTCATGAAGTGACAGCACTCAGCTACTTGGAAAAACATCCTGCAAACATACATTTTCTTCAGAGTCTACAGATGAAGAAGACAAATTGCCAGTAAACTAGGCTTCTTGGACTTAATGCCCTGAAACAATTTCACTTTTACCCTATGAAACCTGAAACCTTTACCCTATGAACTATTAAATTTAATTATGCTTCTATCATTTTAGGTGGACCTCTCACCTCTCAGACAGGTAGCCTAAACTGAAACTCCTTGTGAGTTGAAACAGGACCTGGCCCAGAGAGTATTTAAACCCTATCAAAACGGCTTAATATTACCTTCGGTAGCTTAGCCATGGTCTACTGGACTAGCAACACTTGTTCAAATTCTCATGTGTTCTTAACTTGACTTTCGTGCTGCAGCAGCAGCACATCCTAGGTAACTTATAACTTTCAGTAATTATTGTTCAGTTATACTTGTACAGATGTAAGTGGGAGTTTGGTTATGCCAATCTAGTGTCCGATACAGCTCAAAGAGTTAAATGTAAATGCATTTTAATTTAAATAAGTTACTTTTTGTAACCAGTGGTTCTTAAATCCTGTGGAAATAGGGTTAAGTCAGTAAACATGAAGAAAAACAATTTAACTTACCAAGCTTCCTTATCCTTCTTCTTCGGATACTTGATGAGAGGTAGTGCTAGATGTTCGTTGGGACGTTGTGCACGCAGAAACCGATTGCCTCGTTGGAACTGAGTCTCGAGCCAACGGATGGTGTCTCGCACTCGTCGACTCGCTCTCTTCTGTTCATCCAGTGAAGAAACCACTAAAATATACAATCACAGATTGATTAACGTTAAACATTTTTTACAAACTTTTTGTTTTTATTGGCATGGTTTTAGCGAATTTCCCTATAGGGAAGTAGCTATTACCGTAGGTGACACGGCAAGACCTAGACCCGGGACCGATTTACTTTTTCATTTTGATGTCCCCAGAGGCCAAAAACAACATTCGTTCAAATTTTTATATACGTATATATATATAAATATATATACATCCGTGAACGCGATAACTTGAGTAATTTTTGTCCGATTTTGATGGAATTTGGTTTAAAGGTGTAAAGCGGGATAAACTTGAATGAGTTCGCGAACCAGCATGATCGGACCATGGGAACGGGGCTTTACGGGGGGTTTTATGGAGTAAAAATTGGGTTTTCTCACTTTTGACCCTCAAAACACAAAATTTAGTATATAAAAGTATTTTTGTTTGGTTAATAGTAACAGAGAAAATTAAAAAAATTGTAAATTTAAAATTCCCATGTTATTCTTATAGAGAATATTGTCAAATGTTGCAGTTTGCTTGTTTATGGATATATTTTGATCAAACTTGGCAAATTTATTTATTTTGTACTAAGCTATCAATATTTTACTAAAAAACACACTTTATTAGTTTCCTTGTAGCAGCAAACCTAGGTACTCGTTAAACCTAATGTTATTAAAATATATTTAATTGAAAATCAATTCAGACTAATGGAAATTCGCTTAGTCGGCAGGTTTGCTGCGGCGGGGGTATTTATGTCAAACCAGGGTCCTCATTCAAACTTTTAAATACAATTTTTTTTTTTTACAGTTACATTTACATTATATTTTGTGACGTTGATATGAGTCAGTGGGCTTAGGCACAGACGGAATCACGAGCATTGCAGCATGTTGAAGCACACCTCAGAGACGAATGAAGCAGTAAACAAAGTGATCGGTGGTAGCGATAGATAACGCAGCGATGTCACTGTGTATCATAAAATTTTGCCAGCCCAAGTTAAAATGATACACAATAAATACCCCTGCCGCAGCAAACCTGCAGACATATAGACAGAAAACTAGTCAACAGAGAATTTATGTTTTTATTGTAAAATGTGTTTGTCTTGACCTAAGGAACAATTTTATACCAAATGTTCGAGAGAGTTCTAGGACACCCTGTATATATAAAAATGTATGAATTTAAACTGAGGGTATTTTTGGCCTCTGCGGACTTCAAAACGAAAAGGTCCCGGATCCAGCTCTTACCATGAGACCTAACTTGTAACTAGGAAGATTTATTAACATTTTGACCAAACCCTCTGTATACAAATTTAAAAGTTTGGATATTTTTATTACTTTTTACTGGAAGAATTATAATAGTATAGCAGAGAGAATCTCTAGATGTTAAAGTTATTGCGAGCGATAACCACGATGTTGCTGCAATCGTAAAAGATGACCACAATGTCACTCACCTATGGAAGGTACGAGGATGATGAACTTCCTGGAGTGTACCAGTTGTTTGACCAGAGTAATGTGGTGTATCAGTGCTTCACAGTCCAATACCAGGTATGGAGGTAGAGAGGAGGTGCGTCGCACCTTGGTCTCCAACTCCTTCACTTCTGCCTTCAGCCATAACTGGCCCATGTCCTTCATCAGCCGGCCCTTCTCATCAGTTGCCAACTTTTTGTCCTGCATTACATAATTAAAATGAAATTTTGGATGGCTTGAGTAGTCACAACTAATTATTTTTAATTGTAATATCAGTAATAACTGGTTTGATCCTGAGAAAAGTCAGATGCCATTTACTCCTTAATTTTTGGACTTTAAATAAATGGTTCTATATATTGGAAAGAACCGATCAATCCTAGTAACAATGCAGACAAATAATTTATTAAAAACTCGTCCTTCACTCATCCGTTGCCTTAAAATACACATATTGTTGTGATAGATTTGCGTTTTTTCTCCCTTCTTTAGTAGAACTTCGATTAACCAGGGGCGGATCAACCGGGTGGCGGATTAATGGTGATCAATAGATGGCTCTAAAATGATGTTATATAACTTCACTAACTCAAGGCAAATACCAAGAAAATTTTATAAAATGTGTTTTTTTAGTCTCATGTGTTAAAATGCTCCGGGCTGCAGTTAGCCATTACGCAACTGAAGCAAATGGGTTACACAAAGATTATTTTTAGGAAATTTAGTACACTTTAAAAAGTAATGACAAAATCAAAATAGTCTGTCACTTATCCTTACCTGGATCTGAATCGTAGGTGTGGTCGGGGTGGGGGGCTCTGAGTCTTTAAGTTGAAACCAGTTTCTGTTCTGATCGTAATTCAAGTCCGTGCCATCAGCACTGGCCAGCTTCTTGCCCAGCTGGACCAGCTTACAGACTCTCACATAGGCCTGGCAATTAGAGGGCATCTCAATTATAAATTAATGACCTGAGTTTTGGTAAGTTAAACGTATATTATCAGATATCAGAGTATAAAGATTAGTTATATACAGGCCTATAGTTATATAAGTAGCTAATTGGTTATAATAAAAGCCCAACAATCAAAAGGGCACACAGGTTTGTGATTTTACCCAGTGTTTAAGCTGCGGTTGCGTTTTGCGACATGGGACACTTAAATGCGACAATTGTTGAACTGATAATCGTGTTTCTGCTAGAGGTGTGCGCATATCTGAAAATTCTGGTCGGATTCAGCGAATCGAGCACAAATTTCATACCCTACACTATCATCCGTTAAATATCTGACTTTTTCTAATAGACTGTATAGTATATGATCTTTTGGACGGACAAAAAATATTCATAAGTTAATTATCATTATTTTTCACCTTCCAAGGACGTTATTTCAAAATTAAGTCTCCATTCAGCGGTCTATGACAAATAATGTTAAAACATTGATATGAGCATCGTTGCCTAAAAAATAATCAAATCAACAAACAAATGCTAATAACAATTGATGTGATGCATTCGGATGAAAATGAAACAGAAACAAGATGGTTATTTTACTGACACTTAGCGACACAATTGACAGGACATTAGATTTATATGAAAAGAGTACAGTTGAGCTGAATATTAACAATCAAAGTAACGCCAAATACTTAATTTTAACCTTGTATTCATTCTTTTCTTTTTCAAGTTTTACTTTTGACTAGCCAAATGATTTTGTAATGAATTCGTAAATTAATTTGTTATTAATTCTAAGCTCAAAAAAGAAGCCGTATGATGCAATACCAAAATATATTTTCATAGTTTATCGGCTGATCACTTGCGATTTGATTAATCTAGAACGAATAGAGATTTAGATTTTTGCCACCAGCCTTCTCTAGTCTCTTCGATATCAGAATTTAATTTAAAACATCTAGTTTAAAATGTTGGTCACTTGAATGCTCTTTTCAATCTGGACAAAATGTTCAGCTGCAGTTCACTAAGCAGCAGTAAACTTACGACTGATGTCAAACACTTGGGCTTGTTCACTTGAGGTTATGTTGTTCCAGTTCTCACAAGATAATGAGTTCTATCTCAAGTTGTCGGTTTATATCACTCACACCGTATTTCTTCACAGTTTTTGAGATGGATTATTGCATACTATAGGTTTACCAAGTGTAGAAAACATCACTGATACACTAAGCTGGGCAAGGCCCTAGCTCACAATTGAATGTTGTCAGCGTGTTAATTTGGTCAATTAAGCTATATAACTCTGTAAAAGGTTTATATCACACATTTACTGAATAGTTAGATACACTGGTTTACTGTAGAATTACATTACATATCCTCACTATCCCAAATAAAAGACCAATATAATTATTAAAAAAAATTTTTAAATCGTAATCCTAGTTGGCTAAAATGAATTGTATGTTCAACAATTACAATTGTAGAAAAAAAACAACAATTGATATGCAGGCACAGTTTTTATGCAGTTTTTTTTTTGCAGGCAAAGTGTGGGGGTGATGCCCACAGTTTTTTGGTTATAGCTCCTGAACCGTAAGAGCACTAACGATGGGAGTTGAAGCACTAACCAGCACTAACGAAGCACTAACCGTTGGTACAGTTTTGAAAGTTAGTGCTCACATATTACTACTGGGGGGGGGGGCTAACTTCCGTGAAGTTGGCCCCCCCACAGTTTTTCGGTTATAGCTCCTGAACCGTAAGAGCACTAACGATGGGAGTTGAAGCACTAACCAGCACTAATGAAGCACTAACCATTAATACTAGTTTTATTGTTAGTGCTTTTATGGGGGGGGGGGCTAACTTCACGGACCTATCATTCACTCCATTCTACAATCACCCTGCACTTACAATCAGTCATAGTTTGAGTGACCTGCCTTATTATCCTTCTTGGATGTTTTTTTAGAAATTGATAGGCCCAATTACAATTCACATCACTTACCTCTTGTCGGGGAGTAAGGGAGATGGTTTTTAGTTGTGCCCAGTCAATGTGTTGGTATGCTGGTTTAAGTGCCAGAAGTCCTCTGACACTAACTTCTTCTACTAATGGAATACGCTCATTCTCTATAACACCTAAAAAATCAAATAACAAACTTAAGACAACATCTTCAGTTTCTAGTATTTTATTATTATGAGTTATTTTAAGACAACACTTTGAGAGAGAGAGAGAGAGAGTTACACAGAAAAGTAATGTGAGGTCAGAAATTGTCATATAATCAAACATTTTTATCACAATAGATTTTGACAAAGATTAAATCAATAACGAGGTATTAGGTATAGGCAGTTAACACGTTCGCTACTGCAATAGTACGACATTTTTCATTCACATGGACCAGCGACGCACATATGCGACGGCCGGTTTCCACTCATAGACTGCCGTCGCATATTTGCGTCGGGGTTCTAATGTTATTAAAATGCATATAGCTTTGTAACGGTCTATTTGAAGGCACTGAATTCCCTGAAGTGGTCTACACAGATGTCTGACGCACACCTGCGTCGCTTGGTCTGTGGATATGATGATTGGTGACGTCATAATGATAGTTGAAAAAACTGGTCTTTACTTTTCTGCATCACTGTATGTATGCATGCTGCATTATCCTATGTAGCTTTTATATTTGTTCAGTTACAAACTGTTCTTGAATAATCTGTTTTCTTTACTTACTTTCACCTCAAAACACAAACAAAAATGAACTGTTGCATATATGCGACGTTTGGTCTATTTCAAGAAAACTATGATAATTTTCACTATTGTCTTTGCTGTAGACCGGGCGTGCGACATTACAAAAGGTTATAAAAAATACAAAAAAAAAAAAAAACAAGAATGAATTATTTACAAACACGATTAAAGCGTATTACAATGTAAATTATCACTGTTTTACAGGTTTTTGCCCGTGGTCTGTGTGTACTGTTAACCAAGTGACAGCCGGTCTATGCGTAAGGTTCAAATGTATACCTCGGTCTGTGGCAATGACTGCGGCGTCGCATATATGCGACAGTAGCAAACGTGTTAACTAGGTTCTATATCAATGTTAAGGATTAAAAAAAATAGTTTGGCAGCCGCTTTTAACCAAGGAGGTTGAATTTGTGGATGGGTGTCCACATAGGCTACAGATCTGCACACGGAACATATCCAGCAAAGCAAGGGGTGAGCCATTACAGTACAAGGGTGAAAATTACTGATATAGAGTAGTGGCAGGTACCATAATCCGAACCCATGACATCACTGCTTTGGGCCCGATGTCCGTGGCGATACTAAATCGGTTAACAACTCACCTTCATAAATATAAATAAATAGACATGGTTAAATAAAGCATCCAAGAAAAAAAAACAATTTGCTGATTTCTGTCTAATATGCAGATTTTTCAACTGATCAAAACTAAAAGGATAACTCAATGTAACCTAGGCCTAGTATCTTTTATGTTACGTCACATAAACTGTCACAGTCACCAAAAGTAAGGACAAAAACAATTATTGACTGTAGCACATGTTGTGGGAAACTCATTCAACTACAGTAAGTTATGTTCTTTTTACATTAAACAGTCTACAGTTAGTTGATCTTTAGAGATGAAATGTCTACTTCAGTATCCACAGCCTACCGTTGTTGATGACGTCTGGCCGCTCACTGGCCGCTGGAGGCAGTGGTACGACAGTGAGGTGGTTGAGGAACGCTACAGTTCTGCCCAGCATTGGTTTTACAGTTTGTGCACAGGCTCGCAACACATCATGGTTATTAACCATCCAGTCCAGGCAAATCTGCAACAAAACCAGGAGTATGAATGTAAAGAAATGTTAAACACATTCACTAACAGGTACTAGAGACTATACATACGGAGGAGTGGGACAGCTGGTACTGAACCTGTTAACTCATTCACTACCAGGTGTCTGGAGTCTATACACACAGAAGAGTGTGACGGCTTGTTAATGCATAGAATACTTAGTTGTAAGTACAGAAGGCCAAACTAATATTGTAAAAGTGTGGTGAATGAATTACTATAATTTACCTCCAAAGAACAATTTACTAATAATATAGTTTTGGGCAAATTTATTGATTGTAAATGAACAGATTTATAGAATATACTGTGGGTAATGAGTAAGTCACATCAACTTTTGGCTGAATTTTGCCTTGTACTCACTAGAATCCTTGCCTCTGACTGTCATATACTTAGGAAATATCTATTAAAGCACCTTCAAATTGGAGTCCTATATTAATGCCCAATAGACAACATATTTTTGTCACATATATTCCAAAACCTCAAGAAATATTATTCAGTACATCAATACAGCAAAAAACCAAACAAACAAATACATAGCATAGCTAACAGTAGAGATATTACCTTGATGGTCTGCAGCAGGAAGCCCTGTTGACACAGGTGCTCCACATGGTCCAGTGTTGTGTTGGTGGACAGTGCAGGCGTGTCTCCTAGCTGGACCTTCCTTGTGTCAAGCTCGGCCACCACTACCTCTGCAGGCTCACTGTCCGAGTCTGACGAATGAGTGTCAAACACCAACTCCTCCTCACTCAGGTCAGAGTCTGAGTTCAACGTCAACACCTGACAATGCAAAATATGACTTAGGATAGCATTTTTGTCTCTGTGTAAGTATTCTCAAAATCTCTTGCTAATACAGTACTACATTTTATTCATTTTGATACTTTCCAATCTTCAGGTCTAAACGGGTAAGTATGGGCAAAAAAATATAGTTCGATCATTTTGTGCATTGAACCTGGAAATTTCTAAGTTAAAACCCTCCTTCTGCTGGTAAAGAGAGCAAGGAAACCAAAAGTCCACCACAAGTAATGTGCTGATTTGGATGAAATATGGGGGTTTGTATATTGTAACAAATTATGACTCACTGTCTCAGTGTGTTTCATGTTTATAAGTACTTGCTGATGAAAGAATTATACACTCAAAGAAAGAAAGCAGCTGTTCAGTAATTATTACTTCATAACCCATGTCAATTATTCTTTTTTTTTATTATTATTTATTTCCAAAAAATACAAATTTACAAAACACATACAATTCCAAGCCACAAAAGCCAATATGGCTTGTCTGCAGCAATTATTCTAATTTTGTTATTTCACAGTGCTTATTTACAATCAGTCTTTGTTACACAATCAGTCTTTTGTTTCCCTTGTTTTTCTGTAAGAATTCAATAATTAGTATCTTATTTTATTAGTATCTGAAATCAGAGTAGGGGCCCTATTTTTGAAATTGTTAACTGTTGAGTCACTCACTTTACAATAGTTTTTCTATTTTTCAAACGATTGACAGTTGACTTATCCAACTGTAATATATTTCTATATGTAAATCACCCCATGTAAATCACCCCATGAGTCAACCTCCAGACCTCAGTTGTAGCCAGCTTCCATCCAGAGTAACTCCAGCCCGTTCGGTTGTTAGTAGTTTTATAGTGTTAAACAGTAGTTCTTATTAACTTCCTGATTCCCTTAGTGTAAGACGTCAGGGTGACGTAGTGACATTAATAGTAACAGTGAATAAGGATAGCACCGTGTCAACGAAGACACTTCAGTGGCTATGATACTTCACCAACCAAAATTACTCACTATTCTTTCTTCTTCCACTCTTTTGGCAGAAATTGCTCTTTTTTAAGTCGACGCCATATTGTTTTAATTTACTAATAATTGCGATTTGCGATTAGAGGTTGTGTATTTGTTGTCATTGTCATAGCACCCAATACGTTATGCGATTGTTTTCTGTAGAATAAATTCCATTTTTAGTTTATTTACTGTGTCAATACTAGACTATTAAATCAAGGGTTCTACCCTTGTTGGTATGTTTGCAATACTTTGAAATGGACTAGGCCTACTAAGTGAACTTATTATAAGATAATTGCTATTGTGATTTATTAAAGATTGTGGTAAAGAGAAACAATATAATTTAGTTTGTTTCAATATCATAATTCACCTAAGAAAGGGATCCAATTTATTTATGTAACAGAATGCTTTCAGTGCAATGGTAAATATCCCTTAAAGCTTTAACTTAAACACAAAAACAATTTAAAATAATATGAAATAAAACGATGAAGGGAATTAAAATAAGGTGATTTATTCTCAAATGGAGATGAAGAAAGCAAATAATTTACTACAGGTATACCTATAACGAGCTATAGCCTAAAACAAGCTTCCATAGTAATTTTATTTTTAATACTTAAACAAGTTACTTTTTGAAATCACTAAGATTAAGACATAACCTCAATCTCTCACAGACGGAGCTGACAGTTTACCTCAGTTTCTCAAAATATTGCGGATTGAGATTAGCTGAGAAAAGGATCCAGAATTTAGAGTGAGAGGTTAGATTGAAGCTCGAAAGTCGCTCTGCACTGTGATTGGTTTAAAATGATGTCATCTGTATTTCGTGCGATGTTGCCGCTTTCATTTCCAAACGAGTCACTCAACTAGTGATTACCAACTCACTTCTCAACTATTGGATTTCAAAAATACCAAATCCTGTTGTTGGTTGAGTGTTGACGATTAACTCAACTGTCAACCATTTCAAAAAGTAGGGCCCTATCCCACTTGGCAGGGGAGAATTAAACTGATTCCCATGGTTATATTAATATTATTTTACCAACCACATGTTTTGGCATAATGCTATTTTTAAGATTTAACATTGTAAGTTAAGCTTCACTATTAAATATATTGGTCCAAAAAATTCAGAAAAATATTTTTAACCACTTTGATAGGCTACGTGTACTCTCTTTTGACAGACTTTGGTCTTCTATGTAAAAAAATATGAAGTAGGCTACAGATAGATCGACTAAGTGTGTACCTCTTCTTCATCGCTGATGTCCGAGGACACTTCACTGCTGTGTCGTCGCCGCCGTAGTCTGCGTCTTCGTTTGTGCCCATTGACAGCAGTCAGTGGTGGGGGTTGTGGAGGGGGCAGCACCTCCTCTAGTCTTCCCACTGCCTTCAGTATCAGATAGTTGACCACAGCCAGCATCACAGCCATCACAACATTCATCTGATCTGAACCTGCACAGTAAAATCTTATTGGTCACAGACAAGTTGTGTTGAGCATAATATAGACATATTTGCCAACACCAGAAATAGTAGACTTGTTAAAACAAATGTTGAAACAACCGTGTGGATACAAAATCTTTGAAATATGCAGCTTGTTCACGGATTAAGTTGACATATAAACTATAAATGATAGGTGTGAGCTATTGTATAAGGTTCAGTTTACAGAATAAATCCACTAACATTTTTTCAAGTTTTTAACGTCAATTCCTCATACGAAGAACTAACTTAAGCAAAATCTATTTATCTAGAGCTTTCCTAAATGAATGACACTAACAAATTAAATAGTTAGGTCCCTACTTATACTTTATTTTTAATGAAGTGATACAACAGGTGCAACAGGTTGTGTTTATTCTTAGTGAAGATACACAAATGAAATCGTATATAGAGTATGAAAACATAAACCTGACATAGATTGTTTACGAAAGTATCTGATGTCTCACCAATTTATAATGTCTTATGATAGTATCTTATAACGTCTATAATTTATTGGCAATCAGTGACCCAAGTTACAAACCTTTGCCCTGTAGTTGCTGAGTGCACATGACAGACACCAGGGTCAATTTGAACAGTATATCGTCAGTAAGCTGAGCTGGCTGGAGACTGTTGTCTTCACCTTCTCCATTGACTACTTCCCTAGTACACTGCAGCATCTCCGTACAGTTCAACCTCTCAATGGCTTCATGGCACAGCTGTAACAGTTGGTGAAAGTTTTATTACTGCAGTTTTAAATTTATTGAAATCTTAATCCCAAGCCTTACAGCTTTATTCAGACAACATGCAGAAATTGTCAATGATATGATGGCAATACAAAGGTTTTTGGTTTAAAAACATCTTTAAAAAGTGAAAAATTTGTACATTAAAAATTGACGATTTAGGTAGTTGGTGGGCTATACAGCTGCAACCTAACATGACGAAGGTATCTCTATTTAATGATTCAGTTACTAACACTTAGGCCTATTATTACATAAGAAAGAAATTTGATAGAGTGCCTGAATGAGAATTCCTTACTGAACTATGTCAACACTTGAAATGTTTATCTTTACCTCTAAAAGTTTCAGGCATATCTACACTACACTGATTTTCTGATTATTCACAGGTAAACTTAGGTACTGGTCTCAATATCTAGCCACAAGTTGAAGATAATTATTTAAAGTGGGTAGGTATAGGCCTACCAGTGGGAATTGATCTACACTCTGCTTGTCAAAGTAGCAGAAGTCAACAATACTCAGAAACTTGGAGACGAGATGGTGGACTGGTGAGGGAGTCATGGTGCTCTCGTAATGTTTCCAGCTGCGCTCCAGCACTCCTGACAGGTTACTCTCTGTACCTTCAAAGGACTGAGCACTCGAGAGGCTGCAAAAATATTAAAATGTTAGAAATACTTACACCATTTTATAGAAATAAACAATGTTACAATTTTATTTTATAGGTTTTAGAGTTGGTAAAGATGTTCTGAGACAGATTTATCATATATTATCCATTATAAAGTTAATTGGCTCCCCTGACTTTTAATCAACCCAAAATACTAAATCAAATCAAATAAAATCAAATTATCTTTATTCACTTTATACATTTTACATACATGAATAGTGTCAAAGCATACAAAATTGGTTATACAATTTAATCTAAAAGACTTAACCATCCAGTTTGACAATTATTTTAGAATGGGTAGCTAATTCATTTTTGATTTAAACACTCATCTATACTATAGGGAGCCAGATTAATTAAGAATTGATTTTAGTTTCTTCAAAAAATTGGGTTTGTTTTGATAGGTTTTTAGTAAAGCAGGCAAACTTCTTATAAATAAATTGCCAATATACGAAGGCTTCATTTTTTGAAGTTTCAGCCGATGATGACTTTTTACAGTAAGACTTTTCCACCTTGTATTGTATTTATGGGATACTTCAGTGTTTATAACTTTATAAACATGCTGAATAGTTTAAAAAATATACAAACCATACACTGTAAAAAATTTCTCCTTGAATTTTTCAATAACTCTCTCTAATGGCCTGTTTTTGTTATTTTAAAACCTTTTTCAAAATTTTAAAATTTTTTTGTGCTGTCCCACCATAAATTTTGATTCCGTAGCCAATACGGTATGTCATTCTATAAGCGAGAGGTATATAAATTAAAATTTTAACACAGCTTTATCACAGTGATACGCCATTGATCTTAAAAGAAACAAGCCTGAATTAATTTTACTAACCAAATACTTAACATGTTCATTCCAATGTAGAGGTTCATCAATTATCAAGCCTTAAGATTTGGTTGATTTCACTTGATTGATCACTATTATTTAGAGTAATTTTAGGGGTTTGATCTTTTTTGATTTTATTTGTATGAAAGAGAACAACATTTGTCTTGTTTGTATTTAGTGTTAAATTGTTGTTTGTTAAAAATTGTTCAATATTTTTGAGCTCCAATTTAGTAAAATCTTTAATATCAGTAATTGAATTACCCGAAGTTATAAGATTGATATCATCAGCATTAATACTTAATGTACTGGCTGACTCAGTCAATGCATTTGGGAGGTTTTTAATCGGTGGACACAAAATTAATTCTTACCATCTCATATAGTGATAGGCTGAGTCCAGAAAGAAGTTGTAGTTGCCTACCAGAGTGCCTAACTGATTGTGTGGCATGCCACACTCAGGTTTCCAATACAGCGCCTGAAAAACATATAATTAAAGATTGCGGTAATTAAAAAATTACCATCCATTAAAAAACAAACTAGCCTATAACAAACAACAATTTAACACTGTGTATCAAATAGTCAATGACTGTACCCTAACAAAGGAAAAACATAGTTTAGGCCTAACTAGGGTTTGGTGTTTAAAATAGTACAGTACACTCTCAATTATCCGATATCAATTTAGGAATGAAAATATATTTTTGAATTTCTGGTTGGAAAACAATATAAAATTTTAGGAATGTTTCCATTGAAAAATAAAGTGTAAACTGTAAATAGTAAGTAATTTGCGATTTCTTAAAATTAATACTTTAAATAATGATTACCAAGGTATTATTTTAACGAACATATTATCAGCAATAACCTAGGTCAAAATGAAATTCCACACAGTACTAGGTTGGCCGATAACCATTAGTAAGTTGGACAAGTCGTCTGCAGAACATCAACAAAAGCTGTGGTATTTCTGCCTGGGCATTGCCAGCTCGTATCACCTTTTGTCAGTGTTTGTCATTGCAATATTTGAATACTAACTTAATTGTGTCAAGTATAGTTAAAAAAAAATAATTTTATACTTCCCTAACCTCAAAATTTAAGAGACCTTCGTGTTATCCAAGATTCTAGGTAACAGAGGTAGTCTCAGTTCCAACAACCTTGGTTCATCGAGAATGTACTGTACCCTAAATTATGTAAATTTTAAGTGCTGTAAAAATTCTGACTGCATAAAAAAATTATCATTTATATCTGAAAGTAATAATAAAATCACAATATAAATACCAGAAAAGGACACATAATTGCAATTGCATTTTGTAATTCAATATAATTATTTATAAGACCAATTAAATATACAAAAGCCTATTATAGCATTGCATCTTTTAGATCAAATGTTGAAGTGCAAGCAAAATGTATAGGAACAGTTAGACGTACTACAATATGTATCTGACTTTTAAGTTAGTCTTTGTAGGCCTATTCAGTACATAAAAGACCCATCTATATGTTAGACAAGACTGAAGTTAAAGTTTAAAAGAAATCTGAATTAGCCTATTACTAGTTACAATATTGCACGAGTTCAAACCACTTTCAAAGCAACAGGTAATTGATAAAATTTTAACCAGGGCCATCATGACTGAATTTGTATGTTTGTACATCTATCACACTGTGACTGACCTGATGGTAATATCTAGCTGGCAGTTCAGAGTGGTAGCCTGGACACATGTCACTCAGGTAGCGGCTAAGGTCTCCCAGATAGATGAGACAACGGTGAACTGCCTGCTGCGCCCACTCCACACAGCCTGGGTCTAGCGGCTTGTCTTTGCTGCTTGAACTTGACTTTGCTGCATGTCAAACACACAAGAACATAAGTACTTGGTGGGAAATGCTGAGCAGTATTAATGAACAACCTCAAACATAAATTTTGTGAATTTAAGATTTGAAATGTGATACTGGGCCACACTTCCTGAATGAATAAAAATATCAAAATTCAATCAAGTTTTTTCAAATCCTAAATAAAATGATCCTGGTAAGAGATATTGATCCATATTGATACAATGAATTTGAATAAACCAACAACTAGCCTTTTTAAGAAATTGTTAAATTACATACATTTTTTTAGCCCGTCCTCAGTAATTATCAAAGGAAAATCGATGATCCCTCGTAAGTCCATCTTGAAGTCCAACTGGAACTTGAGCAGTAGATGGTGGTAATGGCCAATACCAGCCTGTAGATGAGCTCTCAGGTGACATTCCTCCACAGGCTTCCACAGCGGTCCCTGAACAATACTTGTACTGTTTACCTAAATAAGCTCATAGAATTATATTATTAGGAAAACTTGCTGTATAAAAATGTTCTACGCAAGACGACCAGTCCAGTATTTACCGCCAGACAAAATGATGCCTCAGAATATAGGAATTAAAATTTTCTCAGATTAAATTATTATTCTTTTAATTGATAATTTTCAATAATTGTGCAGGTGAAAGTGATGGTGAAAATTATGATGTTGATGTCCTTGTAATTGTGAGATATCTACAACTTTGCCATGATCGAGTTCTATCAGGGAGGGGGGTTTAGGTTAATTGGGTCTAGGGCTGCAAGTACCCAAAATCCGGCACTGAAGACAACGTAAATATTTACACCAAAAGAGTTTACATAATGATAGGACTAAGTTCACATTACCTTAGTTTTTTTCACATTTAGAGAAAAGGTGTTGAAAGTTATGTTTTTCTACAACACTGCTTTAATTTTACTATGGAGAATATTACAAAACTAAGCTGTACACCATTCACTTTTGCTTCTAAAATCAATTAAATATTTGTAATTATATTCCTTTACTCAATGATTAGTGTGTAAATCAATGTAAATACAATTAACTAAAGAACGAGTAAAAATAAAAACTGGTAGGCTATGTATTATATGTTGTTGATTTCTTATTATACTTTTATTTTTATTAGGTACTGTACTCATTATTAATTATTATTCTTATTATTATAATTTGTGTAGTATTATTCAATTGATCAAATTTGTGCCCTATTTTACAATAATAGGGGTTGGCTTTCTTAAAATATGTAATACAAGTTATACGTTATTTTATTTTTGCTTACTGTGATATTTATTTACATAATGAGCTGCAGGTAACTATTCCTGACAAAAGTTCAGTAGGTAGGGTACAACATAGGCCTATCTATTTTATGTGAAATCATTATAAATTGTTTTTTTTTTGCTTTAACACATTCGCTGCTGACCGCTAGATGCCGGGACGGTGCCAGGAGCTGAACTAACGCTCGCCGCAGCGTAACATTGCCGCCGATACACTGAATTACAGTAAAAACAACAGTAGTTATACTGGATGCCAATGTTCTGCAATAAAACTGGCTTTGGACGTAGTACTAAGTGATTCCGATAGATAGCAGCACTACCCAGGTTGCAGTCGGTAAAGTAGTGTCGCTATCTAGCAGGAAAGAGGTGGAACAAAGCCCTGTTCTATGGACCCTGGTGGTGATTTTGGGAAACTATATTTTTTTTTATTATTGTCAGAAAAGTACGTCCCCACGAGCTGCAAAGAAATATAGGATGCTCGTGATGAGCTGGCTGATCCATGGAAACGTTAAACAACAATGAACGCTGACGTTCCGGAACGTTCCTAGCTCCTGGCGCCGTGGCACGGCTGACATTCCGGAACGTCCGTAGCAGCGAACGTGTTAATACATTACCCTATGTTGTGAAATTATTTTTTAATCAACTTTTAATATGCAAGTTTTTTAAACTAAGTAAACTTTTACCATCTGAAAATAAAATCGTATGTTACAGAATTTTCATACATCATCAGCACGTTATATAATTTTTACTAGGAAGCCTTATAAGTTAGTCCAATGAAATTTTGTTCCTGAAATCAAAAGTGGATGTGGTAACTATTTTATAAAACAGATTTAAACATCAATATTTTCTCTTCAGTGTCCTCTCCGTTGCAAAGCACGGGTACAGTAGCTAGTCTTTAAATACTTCCATGTTGCACTTTCCAGTATAAGTTTGTTCCATAAAAAACAAACGACAAATAACAGTTGTCCTACTTACTTTGTGCAGTCTTTTAGCAGTTGAGACAACCTCGTAGTACCCTTTCCTCCATAACAGTTCTTCTCCCTTCCTTCCGCAGCCAACTGGGTCGAGAAACATCAGCTTTTCACAGTACTCTCTTAATTTCATCTACAAATAAAACCGTTTTTTTTTTTAAACATTCAAGGAATTTTCTGACAGAATAGAAACCAAATACCATTGTTGCTAGTCTTTTTTAATTTTTTTTTATATATTGACTTAACAATACTGATAATAATGGATATAGATGGATAATAAGTACCTGTAAACATTAGAGAAAACGTTTATTTTAATAACAGTCCAAGAATAATAGTGTCCTTGAAAACATGGCAGAGTGGTTTTTGGAAAGTGGGGTGTGCAAAAAGGCAATTCCAGGAAATTTTCTCCTCACGCAGGAAGACGGTTAACCATAAGATTTTATTATTTCATTAAAAATATATATATGATATCTGCATCTCACAGAAAGTTGCACACTAATTATAAACCTGCAAAGAAGCTATGTTTACATAACAACTATTTATTCAAGTCTAGTTTTGGAGCATTTTGTTATTACCTGATGTGTAGAACATTATAGTTTGATAAACAACAAACATTGTTGCCCTTCCTCATGAAAGGGCTTACAAGCATAAATAATATTTATAAAACAATAAATCAATTCTTAAAGTAAGTTAGTTTAGTAACTTAGTCCACAATCAGCATGTTTTAGCGAATTTCCTTATAGCTTATACTGTAGGTGGCACGGTCAGACCTAGACCCGGGACCGATTTACTTTTCATTTTGATGTCCCCAAAAACACTATTTTTTCAAATTATTATGCATGTGTCCGTAAACGTAACTTGAGTAATTTTGGTCTAATTTTGATGAAATTTGGCTTGAAGATGTAGGGCGGGATAGACTTGAATGAGTTTGCGAACCAGCATGATCGGACCATGGGAAAGGTCTTTTTAAACAAACATTGGGTTTCCTCATTTTTGGCTCTCTTAAAACATAAAATTTCCCATTTTCTCTTCAAAACATTATAAAGACTAAAAAAAAAAACAAATAATTTAGTATATTGAAGTGTTTTTGTAATTATTGGTTACACAGGAAAAAAATGTAAATTTAAATCTCTTATATAATTTTTACGGAGAATAAGTATGCAGTTTGCTTGTTTATGAATATATATAAATTGATAAAACTTGTCTAATTAATTATTGTATACTAAGCTATCAATACAATAATTAATATGTAAATTCATTCTTCTTTTGTTTAAAAACACACTTTATTACTTTTTCTGTAGCAGCAAACTTAGGCATTTGTTATAGCTAATGTCATTAAAAAATCATTTAATTGAAAATCCATCTCGTAAATGAAAATTTGCTTAGTCTGCAGGTTTGCTGCGGCGGGGGTATTTATTTATTTGTCAAACAATACCACAGCCACTTAGCTGTATATGTATTAGATTCTTAATTCTTAAGAACAAAAATCTTGGTAAAGCCAAGAAGACATCCAAAATACCAGGTCTCTTGCAAGTTAATTAATTTTAGAGAAGGATAAGTGATGACGTCTCAGTCTTAAAGATTGTGTTATTAGTTGAACCATTAGTTTTTTTTGTAAGACTGCCGGTAACAGTCAAAGAATACCTACACGTTGAGCTTCAGCGGCTTGTGTGAACAAATCTGGGACAGAGTTGGCTTTCTGTCTTTGTTCATCCAAAGCCTTCACGACATCGGCAATACATCTGTAAAAATAATATAGGGTAATAGGTTAAAAGTTTCACTATTAGAGTAATAACTTACAGTAGCCTACTTTTTGAACACAAATCAAGTTGGTGTTGGTACAACTTAGGGCGCAATAAGTCACAGCTGTTAAGTTTAAAAAATCAACAGAATACTAGGTATTTTTTTACACTACAAACACATGGGATTTTATTTAAGCGAATTTCCCATATAGGGAATAAGCTATTACTGTAGTACTCATGGTAAGACCCGGGACCGATTTACACTTTGGTTTTGAAGTCCCTAGAGGCCAAAAACACCATCCGTTCAAATTTATATATATATATATATATATATATATATAATAAGCAAAATAATAAAAACCAGAGTACCCTGAAATTAATTTTTATTTAAACTGATACGTATTTCGGCACTAAGGCCATGATCACAGTATGAGTTATATAAAAGTATGTTATATTATATTATACATTACTTTTATATAACTCATACTGTGATCATGGCCTTAGTGCCAAAATACGTATAAGTTTAAATAAAAATGAATTTCAGGGTACTCTGGTTTTTATTATTTCGCTTATTAGTTGAAAAAGTAGCCCTAAAAAGTAACTATCAAAATATATATATTTATATTATATTTGATATTGTTCATGTGTAGGGCTACTGTAATTAATAATAATAAATAATAAACCATAGCCTAGTACCTTTTTTTTTAAATTACAAGAGGTTCTACCCGCGAATCCACGGGTATACAGGAGCCACCATTAAATTAATTTAATTAACTTTGACTTTATATTTAGTTTTAAGGGGCTAAGTTCAAGAAATTGTCATCTGAAAGTATGTTAAAAGCAGTGGTACCTTCATACCTTACGTCCTAAGGTGGTCGAGGTGGGTAAGGTTGTAACTGAACTCGTCGCTCTCTTTCACGACGTCTTTAATACTTGAATACTTTACTTTAATAGCCTACTTTTAAATGGTGACCTGTTAAAGATCGGTGACAACCTCTTAGAACGAACAACATTCATGGTTTGTTAATCTCATATTCATCGTGTTCCAAACACCTTTAATCACTCACTTGTATCAAACAGCTAGAAATAGCTTCACTGTCCATTCACTGCACCTCTTTTAAGAACATAAAAGTAAATAATAAAATAAGAAAACAAAAATGTAAACAAACAAACTATACTGTCAATTGCATTGGCCAGCTGATGTTCACTAAATTAATTGAATAACGTTAACTTCCAAAACATGCAAGGCGTAGCCCTTTGGAATTCAGCCTGTAGGGCAGAACCCTTAGGGAATTCCATATTAGAGTGAAAATTTAAAAACGTACGTTTTCAGGAAAAGCACTTTGCAAATTTTTTTCCCCTTTTTTCAAAACTTTTATTATTTTTTTTATTTCATTAACATATGAAGTTTCATAAAATGTCCATGGTAACGCAATATCTTTGGTAGTTTTCTTTTTAAAGAGCATCTTTAGTAGAAAAACACAAAATCCTGTCACGACCATAACGGACGTTTAAATGAATATTAAAAATAGTTAATATTATTTTTATAACTATGTTTTGCTATAAACTAATTTACTTTTATGACCATTATACAATAAAAAGGTCACTGAGCTTTTGGTATATTTGGGCTTTCTATAAAAAAATTAAAAAAACTAAAAAATAGAAAAAAGCCAATAAAATCTTTTTTAGTTTGTATAACTCCGAAAAAACTTACCTGAGACCCGAAAAATCGTTATGTTTGTATAGAGGTGTGCTTCTTTTGTGTATAAAACATTGAAATATGACGATATTTTAATTTTTGAAATTTTTATGATAGAAATCATAAACGTGATGGTCAGGGACAAGCGGTACGGTCGTGAATTGACTGGAATAATCTAAATCTTTCTAAACAATCCTTCAATTATACTGTTAGTTATAATAAAACTATGTGTTTCAATTGAACTAAACTGTTCAATTTACAATTATATTAAAGTTATTGTCACGACCAAACACACTATAAATCCATAAGGCTGGATTGGTCGTGAAAAAAACCGCGATGGTCGTGAAACTTTGGTCGTGAAATTATGTGTTATTTGGCTCTGTTCTGGCAGTAGCCCTGCACCTCATGTTCGAGGATACAAAGTGGACTTCTAGTTTAATCTAGCAATTGAAATATCTTATAAAGAAAAATTAACACCATGTCTACTTCATCGCATGACTACGTACGGTCATGGACACACCAAAATTACAAAAAACACAATCTTTCCTTTATTAATCTTGTAATTCCTCCTTTTAACTCAAAACGACCGGCTCTACAATCCTGACGTACACCCCGAACTAGTCTCTAAAACCAACTGACTCCATCGACGCCAGGCTTGCCACTGTCGTGCTCCAAAGTTGAAAATTTTTCCCAAATGGTCGTGACGCTAAATCGAGGGACAGACTTATTTTGTCATGATAGTCAGTCTACAATGACAATAAAATTATAATATGCTCCTTTTTTGTAAGTTTAATAACCATTGATGACATACAAATATGGCTTTATATATTTCGGCATGAATAATTAGTCTAAAAACAGCGTGAAAGTTGGAAAATGTACCCTAGGGACACGTCATGGTCGTGAATTTCGAGACTTTAAAAATACGAAAAAAATACCTAGAACCTTTTTAAAACCAAATAAATGTGTGTAACATGTTGCCCCCGTCCCAAAAAATATTAAAACACATAATAATAAACTACAAATCCAGTATCTACGAAGTAAAAGGCCAGGGACATGAAAACGTACGTTTTTAAATTTTCACTCATTAATACTTTTCGGCAAATCTACACACTCTAAGCTTCATTTTGATATGCCATATGCCTATATTTTTATTTGGTAAATGGCCTTAACCGTTTACATAAAAATTGATTGTATCACTTTAACAATATAATAAATTTTTAATGACTGATGCATTTCAACACTCTTAGAGTGTTGAAATGCATCAGTCATTAAAAATAATTTAAAAAAGGGTACTATGGTGTAGGTGTATTATTTATTAATACTGGGTGTCCCGGAAAGGAATGCACTTTTAAAACGAACAAAACAGGAAAATGGCTTTATTTACAGCAATTTCCCCAAGAATACCTGTTTGTACACTTCAGGGAAATTACTTGTGAAAGATTACATCTTCCAGATGTAGACCTCTACGGTGCCGGCACTTCGCCAAACGAAAACTCACATCTGCGAAGACTCAACCCAGAGTTCTGGTGAGATGGCTTCAGTTTCCTCACGAATATTTTGCTTTAGATGATTGAGAGTAGCAGGAGCGTTGTTGTACACCCGACTTTTTAGATACCCCACAAAAAAAGTCTAGTGGAGTTAGGTGTGGGCTTCTTGAAGGAAAGTTATTGTTACCAAATCTGGAAATGACTTTCCCACAAAAAAGCTGACTTATTGTAGTCATGGAGTCTCCTGCTGTATACCCATGCTGTATTTTTTTTTTTTTTTTTGCCTGTACTAATTGAGTTTTGTACAGGTGAAACTGCAAACCTTGTTTCAAAATGCGGTAAATATTGGTTCGGGTATATTCAAAGCAGCAGCGTGTTTTCTTACTGATCGATGTGGATTATCCTCAACAGCATCTCGAACGCGCTCGATATTTTGTTCAGAACGCGCTTCTCTATGGCGACCGATGCGACGAGGTTTCATAGTTGATCCTGTAGCTTCAAATTTGCCCACCCAGCATTTAATAATATTCACTGATGGCATTTGGTTTTGAGATCATGAAGTCTGTATTGAGCACGGAAGTGTCGTAATGAAAGCGTTTGATAATAGTCGCGTACACAGAAAGCACACTGCTTGCCGGTAAAGCCATCCATGGCAAATGACTTTCCACGGCATGGCTACAAAGCCCTGATAAGCTCCTTATCTTATCATTCTTGGACATTCGGCTTTCCCCAAAATAAAAGTGCAATCCTTTCTGGGACACCCAGTATATATATATGTCTCCGTTAGCACTATAACTCGAGCTAAAAAGATCCGATTTTGATGAAATTTGGTATAAACGTGTAAACCTACATTTATTCAAACGAGTTCGCGAACCAGCATGATCGGACTATTGGAACGGGGGTGAAAATAGGATTTTCCCATATTTGAACCTAAAAACACAAAATTTCACAATTTCTTTCCAAACAATTTTTTAGAGCTTAAAAAAAAACAAATAATTTAGTATATTGAAGCGTTATTGCGCGCCTGAAATGGTTACAGAGAAAAAAAAAAAAATTGTAAATTTAAAATTCTTATGTTATTCTTATGGAGAATAAGTCAACTGTTGTAGTTTGCTTGTTTATGAACATATTTTGATCGAATTTGGAAAATACATTCATTTCTTACTAAACTATTGACATTTTACATAAAAAGATGTTTAACCCTCCCTGTTGCAGCAAACCTAAGTACTCGTTAAACTAATTCTAATTAAATAGGGAATAAATGTGATATTTTTAAGGAGGCATTTTAATGTAAATCCAATCAGGCTTATGTAAATTTGATTAGTCTGCAGGTTTGCTGCTACGGGGGTATTTTTAACATGAGGTTGTGTAGCATAACTTAAAATCTAGATCACCATTAGCCTATAAAGTTTTTTTCCCGTCACTCTTTTTTTTAATAGAAAATGCGTTTTTTTACTAGGCCTATTGTTGAACTAGTTTTCAAATAGGTACATTTGCCATGTTTGATGGATGGATGACAGAGAAAGAACCATACTACGTGCACTCTAGCGGATATGGGTATAAACAACTGGAATGGAATATCCAAGGCTGTTGCATCACAAAATGGCTACCCTTTTAAACTTTTAGTCAAATAGCATCTTACGTTTTCCAATAGGCCTATTTATTCTCACGACAAAAAAATTACTGTAGATTTTTTTTGCATGTACATTTTATTTAATATCTTTTACAAGTTATTACTTACGTACCGGAAGGCCTATTAGCCTACTAAAAAGTTGGTGTTATGGTATGTCATAGAGAGGGGGAATGATAGCGGAACAGCCGACTACCTTAATCTTTTGCATTGTCCTCTTGTAGCATCAACGATCATGGAAGTGAATGGGCCGTGCAATTAGTGTGTGTTGAGTCACTACCAACTGAGCCACCCACTTACCTTAACTTTAACTACTAACTTATTTACCCACTTACTCACTTATTTATATGCATGTGAGGATGGCAGGTTGGGCTCTAAGTTATGCAAATTTGGGGCTTTGATTGAACGAGGTGTTTTGAAGTTTAGGTGGAATGTAAAGTTTAGATTCATTAAGGTGAGAACCTAACTTTACCATGTCCTTAGGCTACATAATCCAACCTAATTTCCCTCTAAGGACTTAATGCTCAAAAATAAAGTACGACCCAAGTTAGGCTAACGTACCATCCTTGTGCCTTTTTTGACATGAAAATAAATTTGCTAACGATTATTAGTTTGTAACAAATTAGGTTTGATCAAATTTGTTTCATTTTTAAGGCAAGTGCACCACACATTTTAGACCTTTTCCCGGTAATTATGTCGGAAAAAGGTGACCAAGAGAACCATAGTAATTTATTTATCATTAGAAACTAGATAGGCCTAGTTAGCCTACTGTACCTGAAAACAATGGTGCAAAAATTTTTCATTTGTCACAAAAACTGAATAGGCTAAAACGACAATCGTTTGAATTTTATTTTAATGTTGTATTAGGAACGTTGATCTGCACATCAATATTTACACTTTAAAATCAAAGTTAACAGCCCAAGTCACATTTATTGATTGATTATATGCCATTTTAAAGTAAATATTACTCCCAAAACCCACACTTAGACAGGTAAATAAGTTCATTTAAGTAGGCTAGGCCTATATGAAATATTTGATTAAAATGTAATTAATAACGTGGGGACAAAGCAGCATGGCGGTCGTGAAGCATCAGCCTTTGTGCGGTATGTGTAAATTAACAGTTTAAGACAGTGAAAACGCCCTTGGATGTGAAGGTTATTGTTTATCTTGGTTTCACACAAAGTGCCTTAAGTTATCAAAGAAGTAATACGATGCAATAAATATCGTTGCAGATAAAATGCAGTGGTTCTGTGCAACTTGCGATCAGCGAGTGAAATCAGCTATCAGCAGAGGTTTAAGGACCTGGAGAAGAGGTCGATGAGGTCAAATCTAAAATAAAAATTTTAATAAGAATCACATGATAATCTATAAACCAAGCTGGGAATCCTAATAAAACAGAATATTGGAGCAAACTGCAATAAACTTAGAAGTTTTCGTTTTGGCAAACAATGTAACTTGAAACAAAGTTATACATAGACGATGACGTCAGTGACAGCTTCATTCCGCAATAACTTAAGTCGAATATAAACAGCTGTTTGCTCTCCTCACTCAGTCACCAGCCCACATTCGGACCCGTCCAGACCACGCCATATTACCATCAGTAGGCCTATTGCTAAATGAACCTTAGATTCGTAATTTTAACCTTCCTTTTACAGCCACTTAGGAATCTCTCCGACAAAAAACTGATTGCATTTTTGAGTTCAGCGTGAAAAAAACTGTAATGTAGCCTAGACATCTAAAATTTATATCATATCCCAGTGTAGACATATTAAATAGCTTAATTGCCGGACTGGATGATAAAAAACACATAACAAGTAAAAACAGAAAATTTTCAAGCCCCAAAATTCATTAATTTCTAGCGTTTTTCGCGATGTTTAAACTCGATTTTCAGAGTGAAATAAGTTAGTTGTTTCCCCCAAAAGTGCCAAAGGTAAAAAGTGCTTAAAATAACATAGGTAATTTTGGTAGATAAGGTAACAAAAATGCAACATAATATAAGTAGTACAAGTTCAGTATTACCTTATGTTTATTGGCCAAGAACTTATCTGTAGGCCTACTAGTTTTAAGGTTAAAAATGAGATAGGCCTAAGTAGATGGTCTACCTATCATAGGCTCAGTTCTTGAAATTTGCTGTTACTGAATGGTTTATGAATCAGAATGACATATAGAGGAATGGAATGGTTAAATCTCTATTATAATGATTAAAGCTACAACATTCAACTTAGGCCTACTGTAAAAATAGTGCAAGAATAAAGGCCTAGGCAACTTACTTGTATAAGCGTTTTGTCAGGTCAAGACTTTCATTCTTGACATCCGAGATAGGCATATAAGACTTCTTCATACTGTCAACTCATCTTTAAACGGATTGCTAAAACCTCACTCTTTCTCATTTAGAACGGAAATTACGAAAATAATAATTCATTTCTGAGTGATAACACTGAGAACTACAATCGCCTTCCATCACCAACACAAACTTGTTTTTGTAGGATTGTAGGTTTGGTTTGAATTGACGTCACATCAATCTTCCCCCACTCGGCACTCACTACTAAACCGTCGCAACACCATGACCACGTTTCAAGGGCATCGATCAAGATGACCGGCACACACGAATTAAAAAATCATCGGCTACAGTGGGTTTTTATAGTCAATGGGTGGTATCATCTAACTATTAGATTACTCAAAATTATTCATGTTTCTGGCCCCTGGACTACTTTGTTAAGACAATAACAGGTATTATTTATTTCGTGCCTCCGTCAAATAGTCCAACGATTAAGGTCGATTCACACCACGGCCACCGACGGCCACCTTTAACTACAGGCCTGGCAACGTCGCAAGTGTTGTTGTTTAGTCGCAGACGTCCCATAAGATAACATGGCACTCATGGCAGACAGGTGACATCAGCTCATTAATTCGCACTTTATTGATTTAAATTTATGAACATACATTATTTATTAAAATATTGAAAATAAAAATACAGAATTGAAAACCGAAACAATATGAACTAAAAATCTATCTGTACATTTTAAGCGGAGTCAGTAACCAATCTTTCGAAATACACAAACCATAGCTGCTTCCAAACAAAACAGCTTCAACACCACTTGCGACGTTGCCACTTCGAAGGCCGCGGCCTAGAGTTAAAGGCGGCCGTGTTCACACATATCAGTTCAGTCACAGTTCCGTTACAGTCCAGTTACAGTTCAGTCTCAGTAGTTGCATCCGCAATTTCTCAGTCAACTGTCCGTCAGTTGGTTTCAGTCAGTCTTCCGTCTCTAATATTTACAGTACAGTCAAAATTTTAAAATTATCAATATATATTCTATCAAATTTTCACTATCCATCTTGTAAATTGTTACAAACAGTACTCAAAATATAAACACGATCATTTAAATAAAAAAAATAAACACTATTTTCTAACCTCAAACAGGTCCGTCAGGCGTCCCAATAATCCAAAGATATCGGTGGAAACTGGAAAGAAATCTGAAATTGACTGACGGAACTGCAAAGGATGAGTGTAGATAGCGCAATAGAAAATCTATTAAAGAATATTTTTATTTAACTGTGAACTGATGTGTGTGAATCGACCTTATCCAGATTAGTTAGTAACAGTACCGGCAGCTTAACATGTTTCTTTGCGAATACAACATTTTCAAAGCTTGCAACTCGTCAAATGAAATGCTTTATTTCCGTGAACATGACAAATGTGTGGAAAAAGTCAAAATAAACTAATACCAAGAAAGAGTACTTAAAATTGCAACAATTACATGATTTGTTTGTTGGTTTGTTACTACAACATTCCATGCATAGAAAATAAAATAAAACCACATTTGTAGAAGTCATAAAATAAAACATACTACAAGTTGTCAGGAAGTAAAAAACCTCATGGATTTGAGTAAAGTGGGTTAGCCAAAAGAAACTCCCTCACCTTTTTTTTTTTTGAATTTTAGTGATTGGCAGGTTCCGAACTGTACAAGGCAATTTGTTCGTTAATTTTCAAGCTGAAAACAGGTAATTCGTACCTTTGATGCCTTGCGCTGTCGGAGCACTACTCGTTGAGAGTTTGTACACTAATACCGGGGCATTAGAATACAACGATAAACGTATTCTTTCAATTTTAAAAGATGTTAATAATTACGTGATGTTAAAGTATTCTATACAGCCCCGGTGTTAGTGTACACACTTTCAACGAGTAGTGCTCCGACAGCGCAAGGCATCAAAAAGGTACGAATTCACAGCCCAAACGAGTTAAGATATCACATTTTTTTAAATTCCAACATACAGATAAATTTTTCCCAAAAACAAACAGCTATTTTTAATTTTTATAAAAACAGAATTTAAAATTCTTTTAAAAATTTATAATTATTTTAAATAGCTAGTGATTATTATATTTTTTTCCACACCTGAATGCCAATTTTGGTAAGAATTGGGCATTACCCATTCTCCTTGTGAATTGGTACCAAAGATGAAAAATGTACTACTTTCAAGGTCCATATCTTGCTTAATATTCAAAATAATTTTTTCTTATATATTTGTATCTCTAATTTTTAGTACAATTGAACAATAACAAAAAATCAGACATGAAAATTTTCGCCAAACACCCTTAAATTTAAATATTTACAGCTGACTTCAATTGATATATTTACATTCTTCCAAAATGTAAACATTGAAAATTTGGGGCTTAGCCCAAGGGAAATTTGGAAATAAAATAATAAAGTATTGCATTGTCATCCATTTGTGAGCTATGTTTCAAGTTTCACGTCTATAGCTGATCGGGAAGTTAGTTTAAAATCGATATCAAAAATTGTACCGGACAAGAAAGCGAGCTAATACAAACGTTTTAATAAGGGCGTTTAACGATCTCATGTATACAAACTTGCAGAAAACATGTTAGTAACTGGGAAAAAGATTGCATCCTCAAACTGGAGACATTTATCTATGGCGTTAAAATAATCTCTCAGTAATCCACCCCTTGGGGTCTCAAAGGTTCAATGTAATCCTTATGGAAGCAGTATTTGACACATAAACAAAGGCATATAAGATCAGCTATTGACTTTTGAATGCAGTAGATCAAGAAATAGCTGATAGCATTATTCCACGGGGATGTCCTATGTACCTCTCCGGGGATGTTATTCCACTAGCTGAACAGAAACTGTATGAATCATAAATTTAATTTAAATTACGACCTTATAGCTTCATTCTTATACTAATAGCCCTAACATCTTGTTTGTACGATTATTGATAGTTCAATTTTGAATATTAAAACAAACATGAAAGCTTTGGGCTCATACAACTAAATTAACAGTTGAAGTTGTGTTTGAAATTTCTAAGCTTACTTGGGAAATCTTATATTTAATCTTTTTAGTAGCCCGTATATTAGAGATCATTTGGTTTGTGATTAGTATACAAATCTTGTAGGATTTTAAAAGAACAGAACCACATAATGCGAACAAAGTTGACCCGTTTACATGGTAATACATATACAGCTTTTTAAAAATGTGTCTTGGTTGATATTGTTTTTTATGCTAAAGGCTTACTTGAGAAAAATTGAACTTTTAATATTAGATTTCAAAAAAAGTAATGAATTAGTTATGAATTTAAACTTACAAAGTTTACATATCATCCATACACCGGTTTACTCGAGTATATAAATGATGTGTTTAAAATGCCGCTAGGTAGCAAGTAGTTCGATCTTGTTAAGATCAACAAGGACAACTAAGCACAACAATTTTAGCCAAAACTCAACGTCTTAATCTTCGTCTTCGATCACTTTCCGATTGATTATAAAAATTATTAACGTGTTAACACATGGATTATGGTTCAACCATCGATATATACAGTATGTAGTAATAATAGAGATTGATGGGTTCAACAAACGCTGGAATCAATGCGAATGTGAATGTTAATATTAAACTGTTGTAAAAAAATTTTTAATTTGAAATGTTCACATTCATTAAAATAAAAATAAAGTCAAATTACAATTCATTTGAAGTAAATATAAATTTGATAGGCCTATTGTAATTTTATAAAAAAACATGTTAAATTGTTTTACTGAGTATACTCATCTAGTTGACTAGTTAGTTATGTTTTAGTAGTTATGAAGGTCTCATATTTGATAGAGTGATATATATTTCGTGTTTTCTCTTATACAATTACCATCACATGAAGTCCTCTTATATTATGCATTTATCAGTAGCCAAAGTTGTAGAATCCGAAACTATGTAAGGGCTGATTTCTAGGTTATCACTAGCTGGAACTGTACCACCCAGTTTGGGAAAATTGAGGTTTTAAACTAAATGTTTTTTACTCCCCTTTACTACTAAACAATGTGTAGCCTGCTTTTACTGTTAATACTGTTCAATGAAATAGCGACCATACAAAGTAGGTATTTTAAGCCAAGTATGAATGAGATGAGTGTAGGATGAGGCACGCGATCTTGTAGTCTTGTTAGTGACTAAGGCCATTGACTTTATATCTACACTGCTAAGGCTGACATTCCTTAGACACAGCTGTTTTATTATTGGCCCATACACCTAATGGCAACTGGACTGGACCTACAGTTTATAGTGGAATCCGAACCACATTTTCGCTTTGGTATGTACGAATTGGTCTAATTATCAGGATAGTACTGCGGATAGTCGTAGTACTCACTCGTGCGGACGTTAATCCACACCAGGGAGTATCGCATCCACAGTGCATGCCTATAAATATCCACAATTCGTAACCTCCTAGTAGTTGGATTATAGGCCAATCCAATTACCCCGATATTTATCTCTACACAAATGTTGTCTTTGCTTAAAATTGTAGGTAAAAATAATTATGAAGTTCGATGGAGAAGGTATTACACATACCTTCTATTACACATACATCGAACAATATTACATTATATGAACCCTGATGAATCCGCTCATTTTTTGAATGCCTCTGTGAACGCCACCTAGTTATTGTGATCTTGTATGGATTAAAATTCCATACCATTATTAAAAACGGAATAAATTGCCATTGGTATTTAGTTAGAGATGCCACAGTATCCACTTTGTGTCCAAGAAAATTATTTATCAACAGTTTATAGTTAAAAGTAAGTATAACTTGGATGGGCAAAGACAGCTTGAAGGCCACAGCTAGTAGTGGAGCAATTTTATATCTTCTATCGATATAAATTCTACCGTGGCCATTCCGGATAACGAATTTTCCGTTTTCCGGTTAAACCGATGAAAACCATGAACCCCTTCTTCAGCATCTACTATTTAATCTACTTGTCGTCATCGAGTAGTAGATATATTCCCAGCAATGGGTAAGGCCTCGATCGGGCAGCGGTGTAAATGGGAGGTTGGGGTACCCCCCGTCAGCGTGCTGATGGTCCCCTTCCTCCTGGCTATTGATGGCGGGTTCTACCTGTCAGGGATGAGATAGGTCCCGAGTGTTGCTTGCACTAAATGCGTCGGGGCGCTCTACTATGGACCTCTAGGTTCCGACCTAGTGGAACCCAGGTGGAGTGACGCTTAAACAAGCAGCCGGAATCCCTGGTTAGGATTGAGGGGCAACCCTCTTTCCGAAGGGTCTGCTTCGGCAGCCGGCGAGCCTGATGACCTTAAGTCATCCGCCCATGATGTGCTAAAGGTTGATGCGTAAGCTTCGGCCTACATCATGGGGCCCGGGTATGTCCTGAAGGATAGGTACCGGGTAAGCAGTCAGGGGGCTTCGGCTCTCATGACAACAAATGTTAATGTAAATGTAAATGTCGTCATCGAGTAATTGTATTATTGTATGGAACAAACGGAACCGTCATGTTGAACAACTACTCGCTAATTTCTTTTGGCCTCTACGCATTGACAAAAAAATTGTTGTGAAAAAGAATCTATGAAAGTGCTTTATTTATCTTACATCCATTCAGTGATATCCTTTAGGCTATCTTTGTATGGTGCAAATTGTTGAAGCGGTTTTCGAGATCTTTGTGCAAGCAAACTTTGCTCATATGAACGCCTCTGTCAGACGACGCGGCGCCCGCCGTATCCGGCGTAGGGCTATGGGAGTATACGAGCACAGACAATGGAATGTGATACGAGTCCTTTCACACTATGTCCGGCGCAGGGCGCTTGAGTTACCGCCGGATGCACCTAGCCGGACAACAGCGCCGCGCGGCGTCCACGCCGGACAACTCGGTGAAGGTGCATTGGTTCTTATGGGAGCTTTCACACGGTGCGGCGCGCGCCGCACGGCCCAACCCCTACGCTGTCTCAATTTAGGCAAACCACCTGACCAAGAGGGTGCAAAAGTTAATTAAGAAATTATATATCGTTGTATCGGAAAATAATATATAAGTTATTACAAAACATATATTTTTATGTTCATCCCATGCAAATCGGCCAACTTAAAGTATTAAAACAAAAATTTTCCTTTAATAACTATTGGAGAATATTTAGTATTAAATTAATAATTTAGTAATTTATACGTAATGAAACATTTTTTTAAAACTTCTAGAATACAATATTTTCAGACATGACGAATACAGTACTTATATATAATACGTGAAGGCGATTTCTACGAAATACTACTCCTCCGTTAATAATGGACGGATTTTTACAAACGATTTGTCAAAATTAAGTATTTGTTGTGTACACGCCCCCTTTCACCAATTCCTGTAGTAAAATTCCTCGGGCTTTGCCCCTTAGGCCATCAAAATCCCAAAGTATTTCTTATGAAGACAAGATTTTGTTTAGTTAAACAGACGAATAATTTGTATTAATTACAGCTGTTCATAGTACACACATGATACACACAAGAGTTTTCGTATTCAGTTTCGATAGATGGAGTGCAGTGAGCGTTCGTTTTCAGAGAGAGTTCGTTTCCAGTTTCGATAACTGGAGTGGAGTGATTAGTTATGTACTGAGGTTATTTTGTGCTCAAATTCTTTGAGATTATGCAGAACCTCTTTTATGTAACTTAAAGTTTTTTGGGAACGTCACTTAAATAATATAAACCTTTCAATGGTCATGGGATCTGGATACTAAGAGATACATATCATTAGTCTGAAGTAACCTTTTGTATGTACTTTTGTTATGAGTTGTAATCCAAAGTTGATCATTAGTACTCGAAATGTTACCTACCAGCCATTATAACTCTTGGCATTTGAGTCAGCAGCAATGTTTTTTTTTTTTTTTTTTTTTTTTTTTTTTTTTTTTTTTTTTTTTTTAACATTTTCAACTGTAGTTGAAGGCAACCGAAACTTGAAAGTAATTTGACAGTTGATGGAATTCCAATTTTTAAATTTGTCTATGAAAAATCCTGGGGCGAGGGAGGCTTCCCTTTTTTGGAACTGGTAACACACCAACACTCCACATCCACAGATATACCTTAGCTGTTGATGATTCCAATTATTGTGTTGAATAATTTTAAATTAACATTATCTTTTGTGAATAACTTTTACTGGCACCTAAATTTATTTATTTGAACCCAGGGAATAAATAAAACACAAGAGATTCTCATTTGGCCAACAATGATATTAATCATTTATCTTACAGTCGAGACAAAACAAAAAAAACAATCTCTTCCGGAAGTTGACTGATTGATTGTCTGGGATAGTTTCAAAATTCACTTATTCGTATCTATATTCTATGCTACAAGAGGTAACACTTTCAAAACAATTTTCTATTAACCTGAGTGGTTTAAGTTTTTCTAAACATTCGGTTAGGTTCTCTGTGGGAATTCTGGATTGCATAAAATTCAATGAAACACAGTCCGCTGAATGATTTTCTAACCTTTTACAAGTTGGATGAAGAAAGTTAACAGCTTTATCAAATATGGAATTATTGATCTTGTAAAAAAATGAAATAATGACTAATCCTCATAACACTCTATTGTCAAAGTAATCTTTTGTTATTTGCATAAAAATCTGTAGTAGAGTACTTAAGTCAATGCGGTGCTTTCGGAATATCAAAACCATCTTAACTGATTATGTCCGTCCATTTAAACTGAGAATAAATGTAAAGTTGTAAAAGTACTAATTTATGTTTTAATCCTATTCCTTTAGTGAGTGAAACCATTTCATGCTCTTTAGTAATTTATTATCTTTGATGAATCTTAGTGTGCGATATATTCGTAACTCTTTAAATATCATTGACTACATTATTTCTACCGTACCGTAATTAGAATTGGATTATTTTTTAAACAGTTATTTGATATTTTACCAACAGTCTTTTTACAGATGTTAAGATGGTTAAGTTCATTTTTACTAATTTATATTATTTTGTTCTACCCATCGATCTCTATAGTAATAATAGAGATCGATGGTAATAGCCTATAATTTCAAGGACTGGAGAACTTTACAAACAGTGTATGAAATTAACAACTGTGAACAAAACAAGATGAACCTGAATGTTATGCAAACCAGATTATAATTTATAGGTTTTGTGGACACCACTTCCACCAGTTGTCAGTTGACAATTCTAATATTAGTAATCTATGTTCTAATTTATATGGTACATCTAAAAGAAAAACTATAAAAAAGTAGTCAAGGCACAAAAACTACGTTGAACTATTTAAAATCTAATGTAACAATTTATATTTTGATCTAGTTAAAATTGAATTAAAAACTGTTTATTAACATAAAATTTAGTGAAATTAGCTCTAATGTTTTTAATATTTAAAAATAAAATGTTAAGAAGTTATTAGTTGTTTTAGTAACTGACTACAACACAGTATCTTTTAACAAGAACAAGACGATATAACTTCCTTTCTAACTAAGCTTATAAAAAGTAGTGTCCACATACTAAATGTTATTATTTTGATAATTTTTACTAGTCCTTAAGATAATTGCATTAAAACAAATTAACCTAGATTAAACAAGCTTTCTAAAATTAGTAAACAGAGTTAACATTTTTATAGTAATAGTATAATATTTTATTTTAGCCCCTAACATTCAGGGCCAAATATTATAATAGAACATTTAAGCTCTGTAAAATCTTTCACATTTGAATAATCATGGGAGTTATAGAACAATTATATTTAACCTTTATATAAAAGGAAACATTTTTTATATCAACACAACCTGGTAAAACAACTATATCGATAGTTTGTACACTTAACACTTTTAGTCCAAATGAACAACATATTATAAGAAGCCACATAGATTTTAACATACATTAGAAAATTTTACCTTTCAAACATTTTGCCTTTGTAATGTACAAATACAATTATTTGAAAAATTCAACAACTATGTTAAGGAATGAGAAATAGAAACAATTTATTTAGAAATTACATTATAAACGTAAGTTTTATTACAAACTACTACGATAATTTTAACTTTACTTTTAATGGTAAAACGGTTTATTCTTCAATGATAAATGTATATACATCTTCCCGGTGTTAAGTTTTAACAGTGACATCTGGGTACTTTGATGTCTCTCACCACAGGTTATAACAACAACATATCACAACATCTGACAGGCAGGACAGCAACATCAGCAAATTTACCTGTTTAGGGAATTAGAATTTGTAACCGTTTATGATTTATAATATCTTTATAATGGGGATTTACACTATGACTCCTTCATAAATAAAACAGATTGTATGTAATGATTTTTGTGATGTTTGCAAGAGTATTATTTGGATTTGTTATAGAACGTATATTCTTGTTTGTAGATTTATTTCGCCGTTATATTGATAGGAAATTCCATGCAAAATCATCAAAAGCTTTACAGATCAACAATATGAAGTAGTTATATCCAAAATGAACCCTATAGACAACCTATTAGTGACTGTAAAGTTTATACTGTCATATGAAGCTGTAACAAGATTTACATTAAGTTTTCTTGGTGTTAAAATGTATTGATCTTCAAAAATGTACAAAGCACGTATAAAAGTGAGAATTTTGCTTTCACTGTACATTTTATTTGTAATCATGTGAATACGAACATAATATGTGCATATTTAGCAGAACGAACTAACTATTAAGTAATAATGCAATGTTATATTTAGCAAATTATGAATACCTTTTAATTCCTTAATCGTGATGATAATTTTTCTATTAAAAAAAAATTCCTGATAGGTATATTAAAAAAATAAATTTTATAAATATTATTGTTTACCTTAAATGATTCTTACTAAATCAGTATTTTGCCTGTTACTCCTTACTCTTTGCTTAACTTTGAAAACACTTTACTAATAAAAAGATAAAACTTTCTGTGAAACTTGCTGATGTGACTGTGTAATTTGTTATATTGAAAATTACTTTACAGTGTTCACAAATTTATATTGGGTGTAGTTAACTATTTACACATATTTACAAAAGTTAGCGACAAGTTAGGAAGACTGCTGGTTGGGATTTGCCAGAATGATTAACGATTCCTACCACAGAATGGAATTTAATTTTTGTACAAATTTATAAAATTGTTAACCTTTTGTACCTAAATCTGCTAAGTTTCAATGAGCATAAACCTATTTTTCTTATAATAGCACCTAAGTAACAACCCATTTTTAACCTAAAGATAATATATTAATACTTTCATATACCATCTACTCTGTTCCAAAAAATAACGAAAATACGTCTACTTTCTGATTTTATATTGTTATATCTCTAGAGAGAATATTTTTCTATTAGTTCACATCTTAGTAAAATATTTACAAACACTCTTGTTTGATGTTCATTTTTGTTGATGAAACTTCCATTAGGATTAACAAAAAACAAATTCTTTAACTAGGAAAATGTCTGTTATCAATTAAATGACATTATAATCATTTTTTAAATACCACCCCAGTTGGTTTTTTATCACAAAGTTGATTTGTATACCTTGCACATGACATTGTACAAAAGTATGACAAGAGATAAAATAAAGTTGTTTTTACGACATAACAAAGTTTTTATGGGTTATAAAGTTGTACTCATTGAGTGTAGTAATAAAATGACTTTCACCCCTCAAGTCATCTTCCCAACTCAGGGGGTTAAAGCCACCTTCAAAATTGTATTGTGTTCAACAAAACACATTTGTTTTATTCTTTAAAATTTAAGTTATTTTGAGTAAAAATGTGTTTTATACTTAAAATGTTTACCAAATTTAATTAATATAATTCACAATTTAATCTATGATTGTGATAGAAATTACTGAACAATCTTTCGTATTCTGCATTGATGTAAATTTTGTAGACATGACTTTTTTTGAAAACTGACCACATGTTAAATAACTTGTAACATCTGTTAATATATGAGTGTCAAAGCGTATTAGGAACCAGGTATACTACACTTTTACAAGTCAAAACATTTTGTAAATTTTATAGTTTTATTTAATTATGCAAAATGTTGTACCATAATAAGGTACTAAGTCGAGGTTCAATTTCCTTATCTGCGAATGAGTGAACAATACAATTATTCTTCTCTCTAAAGATAATCAAAATAATAAAAGTTTTGATTAACACAACACATTATCTGAGGCCCTCGTATTTACAACATACTCATATGTTAAAAATATATAACAAATCTGCAAATTTAAAATTTTGTATTTGGTTTATAATTTGTTGAATTAGGGATTTAAAACAATAATCTTATAAACACATAAAAAGTGTTCTTATAGTTTTATGAATTTATCAGGTAGTTAAGAAAACTGTTTTACATTTTTTATGGGGGAGAGTGATAAGCTCTCATCCTTGCAAGTTAGAGAATCAAGCAGCAGTAATTAATTGAAAACCCATTTTCTTATGTTTACCCAGTATCATAGTATGAATAATAAAGTAATACTCAATACTGTATGGTAAATATGGTACGGGAAAATTTATTTTAAATTAATTTAAATGACTTTAATATCCCTGCACACATTTATTACTTACTAGAGGTCGTCCAGTGGTTGGAAACTCAACCAAAAATATGTAATGTACAGACTTCTCTAGATTCACCTTAAGCTGTAAATAAAACATGTATTTGGAATTTCTTCCATTTTGTTTTGATATTCTATTTATATTTCGCTATTATTTTCATCATGAGCATGAATGGTTAGACTTTACCATAAATTATTAAGTCATATGTTTCTAATTATTAAAAAGTGTTTGTGTTTATTTTAAAAATGTAAATACAATATGAGTTTGTGAGTGAGTTTTTGAGTATTCTGAGTAAAATCAACATTTCTTTATGAGCATGGCAATCCATAAGGCCTATGTTAGTTTTTCAAAACTTTAGATTCAGTTGTTGTGTTTATTTTTTAGCCTATTTTAATTTATGAAGGGATTCTCCACATTTACTGTAAAATATCTTCCTAACAGTATGCGTAGATTTTCTCTGCGATGCACACAAGCTGAGAAAACAGGTTTCCAATAGACATGCTTGCCTATTAATATATAGGAGGATGTATTGTAGTTTGTTTGGAAAATATGAATATTTCATTCGGAACGCCGAAGAAAATTCAGCTGATGCGAATATTGAGCAATATTATCTAATTTAATAAAATCCACTTAACCAAAACACCATTTCTTTTGACTACTTAACCTTTTACCACTACACCCCCTCACAATGCAAAAATAATCACCACTTACGAAACGCCTCAGATATTGTGTTTAAAATAAACTTTATTAGAAAAACACTCTCCAATCAGTCCTCCTCCGGTCCCATCATCATGAGCATTTTCTTCTTGGCTATCTTGGAATACAGGATGTCTATGGGCTTCGTGGTGTCGTATAGACTCGGTGCTTGTAGGATGATGAGGGCAGTCCCCATTACACAAGCTAGAGTGAACACCCACAGGAACAGACGATCTAGGACCATCGCGACGTACTTCCAGTCTTCTATAACCTGCAAAAATACAGCACTGATTAAAATAAGTAGGACATGAGTCATACATCTTCTTTCAGTTATGTCTTCTATAATTTACAGTCTTCCGTTGCCTGTGGTTTATTTGTAACAACTGATCGAGTTAGGAATTCAGAAGAACTGATAATCCAGTAACCGTTTGTGAAAACGTTAGTCACTTGTACTAGGACTCCAAAGCCCGTAGAACACCCAATTTCTGTAGACAAAATAATTTTTATTTCGCTGCACAATAAGAATTATCAATCTTTGGGAAGATCATTTTGTGTGTGTTTGGTTTCACACCATTGCGGGTAATGCAACTCCTGGATATCCAAATGAGGACAGGTCCTAGAGCAGTCATATGATTGTGGGACTAAAAGTCATATAAGGAGTTATGACTGCGAAATTCCTCTTTACATGTGTTACACGTTGATTTAAAAGTGTTTGGAAACATGTTCTTTAATTATATGAGTGTAGCACATGAAACTGTAACATCAGTTTTGTAGTAATAAGGTGTGAGATGCTAGAGTGAGTTTGTTCCTTTTCTGATATTTTTAAAAAGGCGTTTCCATACCCTCCTAATGCTATCTCTCAAAATCATAACCCCTAAAAAAATCCGACAGTAAAATTTTAGACTGTACCACTGCTGTCCACTGTACAAAGAACATGTTCGTTAATACTGTATGTATTTTTAAGATTATTAATTTAACAGAGAAAAACTATTGGTTTAGTATAACCTTTGTAATGGTTAGTGGTCCATAATAACCGGTAACATTTTGTTGTGAACAAATCAGCTAATGTGTTAGAGAAATAGTTTTTGCATTGAATGGTTCCTTCATTAATAGCAATTTCTGTAATTATAAGCTGTTCAAACTATTCAACTTTACACAACGTTACATAGATTGCATAGATTTCACACATTATTTATTTTTATGCCACCTCCATTAGAAAAGTTGAATAGTTTGAACAACTTATAATAAAAAAAATTCTATTAATTTAGGAACCACTCAATACAAAAATCTCTCTAACTCATGAATGAGCTGAGCTGTCACAAGATAAGTAAGATAAATGTATCCCCATTCTAATCTAGTATCATAAAAGTTTAAATAACTGATGAAATAATTAACTATACCTTTACTTGGCACAATTTGGCCCTGAAATCCTTTTAGATTGATCCATATTTTTTAAATACTTAAACTTTTTAAATAAAATATTTATAATTTCTTTTCCTTTTACTATCAGATGCTGAATTTAACCGAAAGCAGGGCACAGCAGTGAATGGAAATTCACTTAGGTGGTTAAGTGTCGTAGTCAATATGAAATCAATGATAAAGTGGGCTGGATCACTTGATACAATCACAGCCCAATCTGCATCCTATGGAGAGGCTTGGGACATTGGACATTGAGTTTCGATCAGACTGGTGTTACAATAGATTCAGAACCAATCAAACCTCGGAGCTAATCCTTCTTTTGTTATACTTTTTTGTACCGAGTAAAATCCTGATAAAGGAGCCTCACACCTCTCACTTACAAAAAACAACGTAAAACAGCAACAACAGTACTTCAATGGCTGAATGATATTGTACACGAATTTATACTGTAAGTTACACATTTTAATATTGATTGAATATAATAGCTATTAAGTAAACACCAAATAGGGAAAAATAGTTAACTTTATTAGACTTAAAGGTGTTTCCTAACCACATCCACGTGAAAATACATGCATTATTTTTCTATGTAAATATTGTAATTTGTAATGCTGCTTACAAATATTGACAATGATTATTTGATTTATGCCTCTGTAAAATAGTTACCATCAGAAATTAGAGTAAAATTTTGAGTATTATGTCTTTTATTAACTTTTATCTTTTGGGTTTTGTTCCAATTTCATGTAAAATATCCTTACAAAGTTATTTTGAGAAAGTGCAATGAATATGAACAAATCATTACTGTAAGTTCATGTTGAGCCATAGTACTTAACTATAAAACTATAAATATAAATTTCCTTAACTTAAATAACTCGGTTGTAATGAGTACAAAATATTTGTTTTCATCAATGTTCTAAAATAAAAAATAACAGTCACTTCTTAGTAAATAAAAACTTTGTAATAACATTTGTTTAAGGTTTTTTCCTACAGTTACCTAACATGTACATGTCCTCTCAGCGATTTGAGAAATCAAAGTGGCCAATTCGTTCACCAGTGAGACAATGTTAACATTGTCTCACTCTAATTACTTTGTCTCACTCCAGATTTGCAACGTGAAGGCACGAAATAGTGAGCGCGTAACATGCAGACAAAAGTAGTATGCGTGCGAAATACGTTGGCAGCACTGGCTGTAAATCAGCTGGTCAGCTGTTAGTTGTACTGTTGTAAAATTAAATGTTATATTAAAAGTTCACTTCTGTGTAAAAATATGTTACGTTTCTTTACCAATTTATTTGTTTTATGGTAACTGTAGGAAAAATATAATAAACAACTCTAGTGCAAAGTGCAATTGCCTCACCCGAGAAACCATTCCTCACTCGCCTACGGCTCGTGAGTAAGTATTTCTGTCGAGTGAGTCAATTGCTCACTTTGCTCAATAGCTGCACAAATAACTATAGTTGTAACTAGTTACCGTACTGTATTTGGGAATATCCGAGACATACATTTTAATATTAAATCAATTAATTCAGTATTTGACATAATGTACAAAATGCACCCCATTTTACATTTTTACAATTTACATGTTTACAGGCACATTCAATATGTTAAAATTTATAGGTTATTATTTTTTAATTGTCCTTATTTTTCCACTATGCTTATGCAACTCCAATATAACATTTTAATGTAGTATTTACTTTCAGTAATCCCTTTTTGATATCATATACTCCTCAAATCATTCAAAATATGCTACTGGGGTAGGCAGCTTACACATTTAACAAAAACAAAACACGAGATTGAAATAAACTCGGAGAAATCGCAATCTAGAAACCAATCAGTGTAAAGTGTTTCTCGTTTTGGATAATCAAACAGATTTATATTCGTTGAAGTTCTATAAAAGGAAGCTTTGTTCCGTTTCCGCTTTTTTAGTAGTTTACAGTTGGAGTCCACTTTTCACAAGTCCCGGGAGGAATGGATTTCAATTATCAATCAATTATCAATTATTTAAGATGGGGACGCCACTATGTGCGTATTTTAACCCAAATATGAGTGAAGGATGAGTGTAGGATGAGTGGCGCGATCTTGTAGTCTTGTTAGTGACTAAGGCCGACATGTTCCTTAGACACAGCTTTTTCCATTATGCAAACATGTATTCATGACTCGCACACTGGGTACACTCTTGGGGAACAGTGTTGCCCCAAGGAAACTACACGCTGATCTGTTTTACTTCTTACTTATTCACAAGTACTATTGTATTGTGTTAAACAATAGGGTATTGCAATAATTTTTTGAGTCTAATAGTTTTGTAATATTCCAGTAATAAAAATCGCTAATTGAATTATTTAAAACAATGTTGTAAATAACAAATTCACATAAACACATTTTAAAGCTGTTTATGTTTTCATTCCTTTCTACATTGACCATTATTATCTGGACCAAGTAAAAAAAACCTAACCAAAAAGATGGATAACATTGATGTACGGGAATCAGACAGAATTAGTTAGAGGGATTATGTGGATTTGGAATATATTCACAGTCAAAAGTAGAGAATAATTTTGTTCCATAATTTGTTTGAGGAAAAAACTTTAAATGTTTGGCTTAAACTAGAAATAACTACTAGTAGACTAGACATCTTATTTCTGTTGTAAATTTTGCAGCGAATTTTTGTGAACCAGACTTCACGCAGGAATAAGTTTCACTTAACAACGATAAAATGAGCTCCTATCAACAACAGTTTCATGGAGTTCAACTCTGTGTTCTTTTATATTGAAACTCTACTGAATAAGGAAACAAAACTTATAATGCCTGGAATATTGTTTTTATTTTATAAAAGAATACTTTCTAAGTATTATACGAATTATAAAATAAACAACTTCCCCGGAACTTTTAAATATGCATATACTTATATCTAATGTAAAATACGGTCTACACAAAAATAAAAAAGTAAAAAGATATAAAATGCCAATCAATTTCGACCAGTCACACTGGCTATTGTCAGGCCCAAATTTTAAGTTTTTCCAGTATAAGTGGAAATAGTTATTTCTTTAAAAGCTGGCCGACGTATTTGATCATATTTGTATAAAAGCATTCAAAAGTATTAAGTTTGAAATAATACCGAAATATTCTCCATTTGTTGATTTTTGGAATAATCTGAACTTAAATTATAGAAATCTTTAGCCTTCTTTCCTCCTTACAAAATTTCAACAAATGCAATACTGTGATACCAAATCTACAAGTTGTGCATATTGTTTCAGAAAAATTTGCTTCTAAAACATAAATGGCCTTGCAAACACACTTACGTTTTCAAATTTGTCTTTATTTTTGACATGTTGAGCAATAAACTTGGCATCCATGATGGTTTTCTCCATGGTGATTGGCTTGTCGAAGGTGGGACTGGTGTCACTTTGACAGATCGCCACACAGCCCGGGCTGAAGAGGTCGTCGTCTGCACTGGGCAGAGGTAGGGGGAGGGGGGGCTCGCCAAAGCAAGGGACCACTCCCCCGCCATCGTACCTAGACGGAGGGAGGGCGGGAATGTCGTAGTCACCACTAAACCTGAAAAAGTTTCAAATTTAGAGAGGGGATTGTCAAAACTTTAAACTTCAAGAAGTGGTCGAACAATGCTTATTGAGGTTCAACCTAAACGAATCCCTCGTGGGATTTGATCAGAGGCCAAAAGCCTTAAGTTTTTCAAACTGAATCATTATGGCACATACAATACATACAATTTGGCTGTACACACATAAATTGGCCATGTACCTTTACAATTGTACAGAAAAAGATATACATAGAGACTTATACAGTAGGGATGTAAGATATATAGATACAATTTACCTCTTCCCGCCGTAGCCTAAGTACTTGTCTATCTCGGCGGGAACGTCAAACACTCCAGTCAAGATGGCGTCCGGAGGTTTATCCTCATCATCTTCATCGTCTACAGAGTCCTCCGACTTCGGCCTGTCGATCAGCAAGACCTTTGGTAGCACCTAGAGAAGCAATATTTTTCAATGACAGTTACATGTATGTAATAGCTGAGGAGGTCTACTTCACCACAGAGATAACGCAACATTGCAATGTTCATCAAGCATTTGTATTTTACCACCCCAAGATGTGTGTCAAAAAAAGGTTAACAAATACGTCTCATAACAGAAAATTAGTGGCTGTTTAATGTGTGCCAAGATTCAAAAAAGGACATGCTGCAGTCTCTGTTATCCGCTAAGAGGGTTGAGAAACAATTTGAAACTATTTTCAGCTATGTTCTCCTTTTAGATTAAAATTCAAGGAAAATACGTTTATTCGGTGTCTTTCTTTGTATTCTTTGTATTCGCTCTATGTGTATTGTATATTCAGCTTCCAAAGTATACAATCACTCTTTTTCAAAGTAAACGATCTAGACCCTTCATGCTGGTGTAGCTATGCCAAGACCTTTCAAACCCAAGACCTTTCAAACCCAAGACCTTTCAAACCCAAGACCTTTCAATATTGCACCAAAATTAAAGGTAAGACATAAAAAAATAGTTGACAAAAGTACATTGTTTTGGTGATCACTGTACACTGTACAGTGTACATCTCTCGTAACTATTAAAATGGCATATTTGAATGTGGATGTTATGACAATCCCCTCTGCAATCCTTGTCTGCTACTATTTGAAGTATTAGTATAGCGAAGACTAGGTTCGGCATTGGTCTGGCTACTGATAACAGTTGTATCAGTCTCCTGGCAGACTTATTTGTGATGTTTATTTGTCCGATCATATATGTTGGCTCATCGTACGCAAAAAAAGTTTAACTAGGTGCTAGTGTGGCATTTTTTACCTTACTTCGGACTAGGACTAGAGTTAGCAGCATTATCACTTCGATGAAATCCATTGGTGATTCGGAGGATTTTATCCCCGGACCTCACGGACTGAAGTCTCTCGCTCTACCATTAGACCAGCTCGCTCCCCCCTGATTATTGGTAATTGAAAACATCAGATGCCAGTTCCAGTTGTAGTCCCAAGAAAAAATAACCGCCAACTAGCTGTGCTTCAATCCTACATTTCATAGTTCTGTTGGGCAGACAATTTGTATGATTATGAGAAAACTTAAGACTCCTCATTTTTCTACTTCTATCAAATTACATATTTACCTGTATGAACAGTCTGTGTACCCAGGGCCGCATGCGATGCGTGACTGGAGACCTGAAGTTAACATTGAGTACGGCGATGGTGACCACCACCGACAGTGTGACGAGGACCATGGTGAACAGGAGATACTTGCCGAGGAGAGGAACAGTGAGCGAGGTGGGGGGAATGATCTCCGCCAACAGCAGGAAGAACACAGTAAGTGATAGCAGGATAGAGATACACAGTGACACCTGTAAACATGTGTTGTAGGGTTGTAGAGTGATTGCATAGCTGAATAAATGATGAGGTTGGCAATCCTAAGAATTCTGGAATCAGCTTGCTTAGTGGGCGATTTGGTGGTCCCGCCCTACTACTTCATTGGAAATTACCATTCAAATTAACAAAGCTGGAGGACCAGAAAAAAGTTATAGGAATGTGTTGTAGGGACCTGGGGGTGTTAAGGTGTGGCAGTTTGGTAAGTGGAAAATTATTGAAGATATACACAACTTTTAAGCTGAGGGTGGTTAAAAAAAAACTATAGCATAGTCTAAAAATTAGAACTTATAGTTAAAAATCATAATCAAATCAATATTGTTTCACTATTAAATTTCAAAGGTTTACCTTCTCGCCAGAGTCAGAGGGCAGGTAGAACACAAGTACAGACAGGAATGATATCCCGACACAGGGTATGATGAGATTGACTGTGTAGAAGAGTGTTTTCCTACGTAGCGTGATATTGAAAATGATGTCAGGGTAAGGCTCCTCACAGCAGCTGTAGAACTTCTCGTTACGAACAGCTGGCACTCTCATGATGTCCCACTCCACGGAGAGGTAGAAGTCCTGCAGATCGATGCCGACATCCACCGTGTCCGAGTCTGGAGACTGCATGATGTGCCGGAGATCCACCTGTCACAGGAGAAATAAGACTATCGACTGCTTCTTTGTTAACATGTTTTGCAAGGAAAGGGTCCAAAACCTGATCTTGTTGAAACCTCGACCTCTATAGGCTACAGCTGATAGCCCCATAACAAATGGGATCTGGGTTCAGAATAGGACCCAAGTGGACCAACTAGTAACATTCATGGATAAGGGCGAGGGCTAAATCCACTTTAACAACCAATTATTAACAACTCTGAGAGCTGAAGTAATTGATTCATATACGTAATCTGATTCATTTAAGTGATTCATAATCATCGATGTATAATAACTCTACATCGTATAACAAAATTGTATAACAACTCTACATCGGGAGTTATTATACATCGATGTTCATAATTAGAGTTAAACAGGATTTTCATTACTCTATTCTCATTACAAACCTCTTTAGATTATAGAATTCATTACATCCCACAGGAACGTGGACGTAATAATAGGTAATTCTTGGTACATCAACTGATCTCAAACGGGACCTTTAAATCTTTGGAAACAAAAAAAGTGGAACAAACAAACATATCAATGAAAACAGCTCTTCCTATAACTACTTGCTCCTAAGGTGCTTATAAATTGAAACAAAAAACTGATTGTGATGATATTAAATATTATTGGTATTTCAACTAAATAATTACTATTCTTATTTAAAAGTTTGTTGTTAGACCATTACTGTAAAACTAATCAAATACTATCTGAATGAGAAATATAATTACAAATCTGATAATAGATCTTCAGACGGGTCACAATCAAAAACAAAGGGTCTGTATCAAAGCTTCATGGAAAGATATTATTCCATGTAATTGCATTGAGAGCTGCTTTTCTTTGTACAATGAGTGGCTGCACTCAGCCTAATTTATATCTGAAGAGCCACTGCTTTTATATTTTTGCTGGTTTTGTTTATTTTTTGTTAATCCATCTCTTTGTACTGTCTCATGTTTGAATTAATGTTTTTTGGTGGGCCAGATTATTCATTAGCTCTGCGCTCTTTATAACTACCCTACCTGAACTTGTTAATGGCTAAATGTAGAATGAAAAGATTTCAAAGAATAATCTAAATAACCTTATAACAATTTATGGATTTTATATTTGAAAAAAAAATACATATCGATAGTATTACTCTTAATTGTTGTACTCCTGGTTAACTGTCAAATTGACGTATTTTATTGAAAAGTTGAATGGTTCTGACAGTTTTGCATTTACTGTAATGTAAAAATGGCAATTGCCAGAGCACAGACTATAGAGTAAACCTTAAACTATTGTCTGGGGCTATGGTTAACCTTTTAATTCCAAGGTCACCAGTATTATCCTAAAGGAGCACTTTTGAAATTATTCAAACCACCTGTAATCGGCGTTATGCTTTTCATGATCAATAAATCAATAAAATTTAGAGATCGTTCAGTGGTCGAAAACTCGACCAAAAATAATGTACAGACTTTTCTGTCTTCACCCCACACTGTAAATATCACATAAGATTGAAATTCCTTCCATTTCTTTTATTTTCTGTTCATATTTCGTCACCAGCATGGCAACCCATAAGGCCCATGTTAATATTTTTTTATTTAAAATTCATGTTTCTTGCTTATTTTTAGTCTATTTTGATTTATAAAGGTATTCTGCGCCTAAAGGAATCCCTTTAAAGGAGAATATGTTTCTAACAGTATGCCTAGATTTTCCCTGCAATGCACACAAGCTGCGAAACGGATTTTCAAGAAACATGCTTGCCTATTATAGATTACTAAAGCATAATCTGAACTAAGTAAATAACCCGGGTAAATATCAAGCTAAACTCACTCGACGTTCATACCGACTTTAAAAATGACAAAAGTTATTGGATTGTCAAATAATAAAATTAATGATTGAAATACGGTCATTGCAGAACTTTTAAATATATTTTTTTAAATCTTTTAGTTTGAAGGTAAACAAAACAATGCGTAATACAAATGTTCGACTCGACAGTTACAAAGTAGTGATCTTGGGAAAGTTGTACAAAGTCAAAAACTCGCCATGTGGTACAGATGTTTATAAAACTTAAACTTGTGCCTTCCTTCTTTGACTTACTCTCCCTCAGTTAAATGATGTGCGAGGAATGGAGATCCAATATGAATGTGTGGGAACAGTTTGGAAAGAATGATTTTGTTGCATTGGGTTAAAGTAAAAACTAAAATAATGATTAAGGTGATTAAATATGTTCAACATTGTTTATAGAAATTTAAAATAAAATAAAGTATTATTGGTTGAGTTTTTGACCACAGGACGACCTCTAGTAAGCAATAAATGTGTGCAGGGTTGTTAAAGTCATTTAAATTAATTTAAAATAAATTTCCCCTTTCTATTTTCCCTACAATATTGAGTATTATTTTAGTATTAAGTTATTTTATATTATGTTTGCACAATATATAGTTTTGGTCTTGTTTCCGATCACGAGGCGACCTCTAGCAATTTTTATTACAAAATAACAGGGTTTGTGTGATTTTGATTAAAACATACTTAAAAAAATCTTAGTTTCCATCAAATTGTTTTTAAAAAGGATCTTACCGTAGGTGTTTCAAAAACCAAGGGAAATTTAGCTGAATATTAAAGTGTAAGTTGGGTTTTATTAAGTTTTGATGGAAGTGCCTTTTAATCACATTTTCGAGGGTGTTCGCCGGCTGAAAGTTGGCCTGAAAGTCGCGTATCGAGTGTTCATACATGAACAATGAGCCTGAGAGAAGCGGAGATGATCCTACTTTTATAGATCAGTCCGATTTTGTGCCGAGAACAGATTCATAAAAGTTTCAAAACAGCTTTTATCTGAAGGGAGGTTTATGTGTGAATGCTTTCCGAGCTTCGGAAACCAATCTCATTATGTGAGCTAAAACAGAAGAAGAACTTTCATCTCCATAGTAACGACGTACATATGAGATAGCGAATATCGATGCTATAATAGCTGAGATAATATATACATTAAATGAGGGAATATTTTATTTCGAGACGAACGCTACAACTACATTTATTTTTTAATAGAGTTAGTTTTACTGGAATGATATTTACATCACACAGATATTGAACAAAAGATCATTATAGTATTAAAAATTCAGTAAACGAGTAAACCCTCTGTTGTAGTTTCATAATTACATAACATATATTTGATATGAACACGCCATATTTGATTCAAAACACAATTATGTATAAACATTTCTATATTTAAAATGAAGGAAAGTATTAGTTAAATGCACAATATAAATCTTCATTGACAGACGATATTGTGCCTATTGCTAAGACTGTAGGGTATAATCATAAACGATTTTTAAATAAGACACTTAATAAGGGAATGTCTCCAAGGTCCATTAATATGAAGTTCTGGTGAAATTATGTAAGATATATAAACATATATTTGGTCATTGCAGTCTTCTAAATCAGAGGTTAAAGTATACTGTACTACAGGAGTTTCAGAAGTTACTCCATCGTTGAGTGTGTAGTGGTAGTATCATAGATGAACTTATATAATGCTTAAGTGTAGCGTTAAGAGTGAACTAATAAACTTAGCCTCGAAAGAGCTGAAGGGAAAATGGCTTTGTTGGACCGTAATAACCCGTGCCTTATCCATCATCAGTTTATTTGAATTTTTTTGTGCGATTGAAATTCATGAACACTGTTTTGTCGACAAATATTAGTTAAACTTCAATATTATACTGTCAATAGAGAAAATAAAAGCATGGATTACAAAGAGAGTAAATACACTAAATTAGCTTAAATAAGCTTTATACAAATTAATTAGGCATCAAGTTTGTTTTTTCTATTTGTAAGAAACTAGTCATTTGTTTTTCTTCTTACAGTTATATTGTCGTCATTTATTACTTTAGCCATACACGTGTTGGGTTAAGTATTTGCCTTTTTTTGCATTTAAGTTTGAGAATATGAAGGTTATTTGGAATATTTGTTATTACAAATATTTATAGGTAAATTTTAGTGTGTTATGATAGATGTGTATAGGCTTTACAACGTTTTTGATGATGACAAATTAATACGATAAGAACTTGGTTTTGTTAGAGATTAAGAGTCGTAACATTTTATTTAATATTCTAAAAACTAATTATATATCACAGTTATTTGCTCTTTTAAACTTAGATTTTAAATAATTATTATCTATACTAATATCATTGACTATTGGATACAGAAGAATACATCCCATCTGTATTATTAGTCAATGCTAATATGGTAAAAATTAGTTATATAAATGGATGATTTATTGTTGAATAAATCTAAATAATTAATATAGGATTAGTCTGTGTAAATAACTACACAGTTATATAGATATCTGTACAGTGTGTATGTGTTAGATGCACGTCTGTCTGAGGTAATATTACGTACATAATAACAGTCGTAGTTGGGTATTCTAATTAATTTTGTAGGGTATTTTATGTTTGGTTTCTTCGTCTCTTAGATCAATCGTGCCTATCTCTAAGAGAAATTCTAACCTAAAAAGAGTTCCTCTGTTAATGGTGGGAACTTTGTGGTAGTAACAGGACTGTTCAGTAGTATCCATTGGCAGTATGTATAGGCATGTATGAGCAATGGATATAATTTTAATGAATAATAACAACGAAACTGTATTACCTACTAAACACAGTCAAAGAAAATGTAATAATGTTGCTTGTGTATGCAATCATATAAACCAGGTCAATGTATCATTACACCATTCAAAGGTTTTAAAGGTGGTCAGAGATTAACGCATCGGTGCTTCAAAATCAATTATTAATAAACCAACAAACTCTGTCGGTGACCCAACTACGCCTGCCATCATTCTAAAACTGACTACAACTTAAACATGGAAATTGAATGTCTAATTCTGTTGATGTCCAAAGCTTTAAGTCAATGACTAACAATTAACAAATACAATAAAATGAGACTCTAGATGTTTCAAACAGTGACTATTGAAGTTGAATGCTAATGTGATTACTCACGTGATACCCGTCGTACGTCCAGGAGCCGAACTTCATGAAGCATGTTTGCTCGTCGAAAGGGAAGTATTCTACGTCTATCTCACAGAAGGACTTGTAAATGGCTGGAGGTTTCCACACCACCTTCCCCGTATGATGGAGAATAGCCTTTGTCATTATCGTCACCTCGTAGTTGCCATCCGCACTGTAGAGTAAATTCAAGCATTAATACAACTCCAAGTAAGAGGATTATGCACCAAAGTTTATATAATCCTGCACCACTCTAGTTTGAATCACTACTTAAAGTTTGAATTGGAAGTTTTTGAATTTTTTGTGGGAAAATATTAGGGGATTAAGAAAATCCCGCAGTTCTAATTAAGGATTTAACACTTTTTTGGACATGTGAGAGCACATTTTGTCGGGTAGTCGAGAGATTATAGTGCTCGGATTCAAATCCGAACGTCGCTGGTTCGATCAATCCTGAAACCCAGATGTCATCGTCACAACTGTTTGGACAGTTTCCATAGAAAAAGTAATAGATTTAGTAGGAAGGTAGAAAAAATTAAAGAACTGACACTTGAATCACCCCACTTAAAAAAAATAATAATACCCCTGTCGCAACATAACTACAGAATAAGCGAAGGATAAACGTGATGATAACTTTGTTCCTGACTATGATCAAGTGGCTCTTTAAACGCCTAGAAAAGCCCGATGAGCAAATACAGCTGGGCAAGGATCAAACCGGCGACATTCTGACTTCTAGCCGAGCATTATACCTAGTTGAGCTATCACTGATAGCGTTCATGCTTTAAACAGTAAGTAATTAACCAACAAAATCATCATCTCATTTATTACAGAATGCAAAACTAGACGTAATGGTTGAAAGTTAGATTTTGATAGGTAAAAATACAGGGACGAAAGAACAAAGCTCTTATAGTCTAGAAAACTAAACAAACGCAGAAAGCTAAATGATATATGATTGAAATGTGCTTGATTTAGTTCAGAATATAGATTAAGTTCAAATGGGCTTAAAAACAAATCGAGCTTAAGTAATTTCATTACAGTATACCTCATGCTTGAAGGAGGTGATTTGAAAGAGAAGAACTTCCAATGGAATTAAATAATACAACAATAAAGTATACTCGAAGGGGATATTTTAAAACACCGTAAAAACTGAGTCAAAGGAAATCCGTTTAATTACGTAGCCTAGTAGAACAATTTAGAACAGCCTGTAAAACCGAAGAAAATTGCAATACTTTGCAAATTGAAATACTCATAGAAGTGAATCATTTTACAAACTTATTCAGAAGGGAACGAAATGATCAATGTACAAATCTGTATTTCAAATAACCACCTTTTGGTTTACAACTATTTTAATTAAACAAAGTACTATTCTTAAGTTAACGAGTTATCCGAAGCTTTCAGAGTTTAGCCTGCAAAGAGTTTACTTGTCAAAGTTTCAATGATTAAAACTTTGAAGGCAACTCATTATTCGTTGAATAAGCTGAAAAGTTGGCCAAGCTTTGGTGGACTTTTCGCCTAAAATAATCTTATTGTTACATTACAGAAAGTTTCAATTGATTAAATAACCTCGCAGTTCGTCCCTGTCTAATTAAACTATTTCAATCTCAATTTAGTAAAATCATTACACAATAGTTATTTTGTTTGTCATTTACATATACGTGGGTTTAAGTTGCACATCTATAGGTGATACACAAGGTCTACATATTGAACACACTCTTGTAGTGGGCTTCTCTTATATTTCTTTTGCAATATTAGACAAAATTGTTTTAAAACTTACTAATCTTTTAAATTTCTCATGTTTACTAGCGTTTCTCTATATTTTATACACGAGTATTCCTCCAATAATCACACTTCTGAACGGTATTAATGTTATAGGTTTTAAAATGTTGTAATAATGTTTTCAAGATTCTTCTTGAAATATTTTAATAATATATTCTTATATTCATGAAAGTTAAAAACGAGTACTACATCTGAAATATACATAGTGTATTTATTAATTCACCCACAAATATAAACCAATTACTTATGAATAGAAATATGAATTTCCAAGTAATATACGACGAAGGAAGCCTCTCGAATACTCTTAAATCAACGTATTTAAAGGACTACATACCTTTACGTCCACAGTTCATAGAGTATGGTCAAACTCACTACATGTTTTGCCTATTAAATCATATGTACATAGGCATTGTCAAGTGATTCTTCAAGGACGTTTAATCCATTTGTAGACTCGTCAAGAAAATTCAAATATATACACATTTAAGACTACACATTGTATGACAAAACATTAAACAATTAGTAGGCCTACTATTAACCGGTCGCGACACCGTACAACGTGTCGTCTTATATGTGTATTTACCACGATTACTATAAAAATATCGGTATGGATCATAAACATAAACAAATGACGTTGTTGGCCCGAATCCTATACTAATAGCATTGAACATATGTTTTGGCAGTTCCATTTAAGCAATGTTAAATAATGTTTAGTATTTACTTATATGTTCTTGATGAGTCTGATACTTTTCGTACGGATCAAATAAACATTTTCCTTCTGTCACCATTTAATACCATGATACATTTTCTGAACCATTATATATATAAAAAAAACGAATATTAGCATTTCTATTTTGGATAGGAGTTTTCAGGTTATAATAAAATCTATAATTAAATTGTTCACTACATTATTTGCAAGTGTTTTAACATCACTTGCACCTATTTGACTTGAACAAATAATTATTTCAATTCATTCGAAAATCCATAAATTAGGCATAAGTCAACTTTATAGCAACAGCGAAATACGTTGGTGTTGTATTAAAACGTAAACAATAAAAGTACAACTGCTGATTACATATTTACTCAATGTCTTCCTTTATGCATGAATGTTTTAGCATGACCATTTTACGTGGTTACTATTTTGCGTTTTAGGTGTATCATCTGTGAGGAGCGCAAGAAACAGCTATTTATAATCAATGCAAAATTGGCTGCTTTTAAAGAAACGTATGATTTTCCCAGAGTGAAACTGTCGAGCCATTAAAATAGCTAGTTAATAAACAAAAGGTTAATAGTACAATATAGGCATAGAACCATTGTCTGTGATAGAACAATAAATTTTGAGGTTATGGTTGCTAGGCTACAGCGACAATACAGATAATTAACTTACCACAATATATTATCCTGTTGTTGAAATGTACCAAACAACTTTTTTGTTTAAACATGAACGTTGTAACCAAATAAACAAAAGTCTGAAAACATTCATTTTCGAGAAAGAAATCAAAATACCCTCTAAAACAGCTTTTCTGTGAGTCGAAATAAGTTTAAGTTTCTTGATAAATAAAAAAAGTTATGATTAATGAAACCATAATATAATCAAATGGTAATCAGGTGAATTTCAATAGTATAGTCTCACCAAGCAGAAGGCTCACATTCAGTTGAATATTTATTAAAAATTACTCAAAAATACCATCCAAATAATAAATACTTTCATAAAAGTATCACATGTTCAAAGTAGATTGTATGGTAAAAATACGAATAAAAAGTTATTGGAAAATAAATAACACAGAAATTAAAGTTAAAACGAATGCTTGAATTAGCCTACACTTTTCCAACAAATCCGGGAAACTTCAGAAAGTTTTAAAACTAATACAAACTGGTAAACAACCAAATAAACTTTTAAATGAAGAAGATTGGGAAAGTAGTTGTCAGCCACAGCCTTCCTTAACATTAACTCGTTTGCTTGAAAAATCTTTCAGTTATAATTTAAAATATCCATCCAGTGTAAACATCAACATTGCAGTAATCCCTAAATTGAGAAGAAGTTGCGAAATCATGCTAAATGTTAAAGCAATAGTTTAAGTTGTTTTAAAGGGATATTTAAGGGTTTTCTCAAATTCAATGATATACTTTAAAACTGTAAGTCATTCGTGTTAATCAAATTTCAAATCCAAGAAATCGTTTTGAACTGAAGCCATGACAAATTGTTTAATGGCTAGTTACTTGGCATATTTTTATCACAAGTCACAATGAAAACTCATTCATTTCTATTATTTTTCACTGTATTGGAAAACGACGGGAGAGCCAATGCTTATTTACTATCCCTAATTCAGTTATTTAATGAACTATAATTTGAGATGCAAATAATAAAGTATAATTTTAGTAATAAAAATGTGGATTACAATTCGTTTATTCCTTAAGCGTTTTTGGTACAACACGGCTGACAGAAAAATCCGTGCTTTTTAGAATATTAAAAAGATGAATGATTCATTGAAACGAAATACCCCCACCACAGCAAACCTACAGAATAAGTGAATTTCCAATAGCCTGATTAGATTTCCATGAAAATATTTTACATTGGGTTTGATGAGTAGGCCTACTTAGGTTTGCTGCTGCGGGGAACCTAAGAAAGATAATGTTTTGTAAAATGTTAATAGCTTTGTATAAAATATATAAAAAATGTCCGATTTAAGTTAAATATAACTATATAGTCAATGGGTATAGTCTAACATGACAATTAAAAATGTATATATATATTTTTGAATTTTACCCGTAACAATTAAGCATACAACAACACTTCAGTATACCAAACTATTGTTTTTTAAGCTCTATAAAATTGTGTAGGGAAAATTTCAGACATTTATGTTTTGAGGGGTAAACATTGGAAATCAAAATTTTCACCCCACAAAACCCCGTTCGTATGGTACCGGGTTCGAGAACTCTTTTGAATAAACGTAAGTTTACACGTCTGTACCAAATTTGATCAAAATTGGCTTCTGAAGGCATCAAAATGAAAAAGTACATCGGTCCCGGGTCTAGGTCTTCCCATGACACCTATGCTAATAGCTTATTCCCTATGTATGGGAAATTCGCTAGAATTACAACAAAAACATAAATAATAATATTTATGCATTATATAGTTATGTGAGTAAAACATTAAATAAACTGACCGGTGAAATTAAAAATGTACCAGAAACTACTACATATTTACAATGTAAAAATATAAGTTAACGTAAACAAAGAACGGAAGAGTGAAAAAAAACTTGTCAATAGTATCGAACTAATTGAATTTACAGGTTATTTGAATTAACCTTTTGCTAATGAACTCCTAGTTCGATACATTTTCAGTCTCAAGCTTGAGTCGATGGGCAAGGTCAAAGAGGATGTCAACCTCTAGAAATGCATTAT